CTTAATTATCAAATACATTTGTTTTTGAATTCCAGCATATGAAACAAACAGCATAGACTTAATGGCACAATTTTTAGTGAACCCAAGAAAGAGGAGTATTGTTGACATGATAACTTATACATTTCCTAAAGGCAATTAAGACATGGCAGGGAGCACACACCCATACTAAAATACTTTTATTTTAGCACTCGGAGCTACCAGAGTGTATGACAGTCCAACAGCTCAAAAAACACAGTTGAAACATATATGAAAAATATTGAATGAATTCACTCCTCCAAAGATACAGTTAATAGGTGCAGGGAGTAAGTGTTGTCCCATTAGGACAGTAAGTGTATTACTGGTTGGATCACCAGATGAAACTAAAGAAGAAAAGTCTAAAAAAGAAAAACTACTGCAGTCACAGGACTGGTAAGCTGCAATATATCACATGTTTGTTCTTGGGGGTTTTTACAGCTGTAAATTTCCCACTTTTGTAATAAATTTTTTGTATCTACTTGTCTATAGCCCAGGCGAACCCACATACAAGACAGTTAAGCGCTTGCTTTAACACACAAGTGATAACCATACTCACTAATTTATTACAATAACATTGCATATTGCAAAGTTAAGTGCTTATAAATTTTAATAAATCCGTATTTGATAATGCAGTTTAAAGTGAAATGACTATGTGCAAAGGGCAATAACAACCAAATCAGGTTTCGGTTGTCTGTAATAAAATCATCAATATATGACATCTGAGTGGGTTGCCATATGCCATTTGCCCATTAAAGAAAATCTATATTGAGAGTGTGACGGACCACAGAGAGAACTACAGACTGTATCTCAGAAGCTATTGAACCCTTTGGTTCAACAAACAGCCAGGTATCCCATATAAAGGAGAGTTCAGCAGTAGCAGCCTATGGATTTTCTCTCTAAGTACAGGTTTTCTTTAACTATTACTCAGTATCTATTGGTTCCAGAGTCAGTTTATCTTATCTACAGTTTCTTCAATCCGATTTAAATCTTACTGGTCGAAGTGTGAACCCAAGTGGTGATATATCAAGCAGACACAGAGAAAGTAGCAAAGCAAAAGTTACATTTAGCAGACCCATCCAAACACTCCACAAGTAAAGAACTGTCTGAAATCTGACTTGTGCAGATTACATGAAACTTTATAAAGGCATTTTTATGCTTATATATGATTAAATATTGTACCTGATCACGGTAATAGTTCCTACAAGCTGTAGACTGGGGATATTTAGGGGGTATAAGGAAAGACAATCAAAAACATTTTTAGAAGCCAACATGCTTGGTGGAAATTTGTTTCCACATGCTATACAGGACAATGCTCTGCAGAGTTTTTTAATAAAAACTGATCTTATCAACAATATTTAAAATGTGATTGGGAGGCAAACCAGATTTCAGTATGATTTTTGCTTAATATCTGGGGAAAAAAACTTGGACCCTGAAATAATATTAAATCATCTTGATATACAGTATGTACTATTATTATTATACAGGATTTATATAGCGCCAACAGTTTGCGCAGTGCTTTACAATATAGGTAGGACATTAAAATCACAATACAATTCAAGACAAGATGGTAAGGAGGGGCTGAATTGTATGAGAATACGATGTTTGAGTGGTTAGTTTGAGGTAGGATAGGCTTCCTTGAAGAGATGAGTCTTTAGGGATAGACTAAAGGCAGTCAGAGTAGGAGATAGACGGACAGGTTGGGGTAAATAGTTCCATAGGATGGTAGAGACTCTAGTGAAGTCCTGGAGGCGAGCATTGGAGGAGTTGACAAGGGAGCTGGAAAGCAGAAGATCTTTTGAAGAGGGGAGGGGATGGTTAGGGTGATATTTTGAGATAAGGTTTGAGATACAGCCGGGGGCAGAGTTGTGGATTGCTTTGTAGGTGGTTGTTAATATTTTGAATTGTATTCTTTGGGCTATTGGAAGCCAGTGCAGAGATACATAGTACATATAAATATGTAGCCTACCACATTGCAATTTGCCATAATGTACCACAATACAACACTGAACATAGCACTGTTCAGCACTGTATCATAGCAGTAAATATCTCTCCCTGCAAACATTATATGATCTGTTCCTATCTACTCCAAGTCTCCAGCGCACACTGACCATTTATTGTATATGACTGACTGTAAATATACTATTCAGTAGGACTGTATAAAAGTTTAACAGTAACTATCTCTACCCTAAAACACTGTGAAGGAAATGTATCAAAACTGGAGCCGACAAAATCCGGAGCAGCCGTGCTTGGCAACCAATCAGCCTCTATCTTTCATTTTCAAATCTTAACTAAACAAACTGAATAGAGAAGCTGTTGATTGCCATGCACAGCTGCTCCACATTTTGTCTCCTCCAGTTTTGATATATTTCCCCCTGTGTGATCTCTCCTTATTCACTTCAAGTCTCCACCACACACTGACTGTATACTGTATATGACTGTAAATATAGTACTCATTAATGTCTTCCTTATATTGTAAAGTGCTGCACAAACTGTTGGCGCTATTTAAATCCTGTATAATAATTATAATATTAATAATAACAGTAGACCTGAAAACACTGTGTGATCTCTCCTTATTCACTCAAAGTCTCCACCACACACTGACTGCATACAGTATATGACCAACTTTAAATATAGCACTGTATAGTAGTAAAGCAGCAAGTATCTCCCCCAGCAAACACTCTGATTTCTCCATTTCTACTCTGCGTCTCTCCAACACACACTGACAAAAGGCAGATTAGAACCCTGACTTTATAGAGAAAGGAACACAATAATTTTCCAATGGGGACACCTTTTCTGGTGACACCTGTGTAAAAGGGGTTTTCTGTCACTTTGGAAAGATTTTTTTTCAAAGGGAAATTTATCCAATGGTATTTATCTAAAAATCTAAAAAAAAAAACCCGACAGGGTTTTAACAATTCCCTATGCTCCGAAATATAAAAAAACATACTTTGGCTTTATATACACTTAATGACAATAAAGTAACCAAACATTGTTTAATTCCACTATTGCTTAACTGACTTTCTCTACAGAAGTAGGAAACATAGTCCCTAGCATTGCAGGTTCTTCCTGGAATGGGGAGCATCATCACAAACTCACATAGCTGGCCTTGTTTCTTCTCTCTTTCTCTATTCTAAAGGAGATCGTTTCTATTAATCTGTCACCACCAAATTAATTTTACCCCTCAGCAAGAGGATACCCTTCTCCTGATTTGAAGGAACCACCAATCAGAGAATACAATCTTTTACCAGTGGAGGAAATGAAGTCAAACCCATTGAAAACCTCCTTACAACCCTATAGAAATCTATGCAGCTGACCAGCAGAGAGAGGTACTATTCTCATTCTACTGAGAGAGAAACAATGTAAAGAGAAAGGAGAGCTGTAAATGCCCTGGTTACCGGAATGGAGGCTCTGACCTAGGGTCTGCTTTAACTCTAGGTATAAAGGAGGGTGTGCGGATCTTTTCTAAAATGTCATTTATAATTTTAGTTCCGCTTTAAAAGAAATGTAGGTGGCACCCTGGTATTTACTAATTCTGTTTCTAAGTAAACCCAAAATAAAGATCTATTTTAAAATGTCTGAGCATTTCAAGCATCTCCGGTTTCTCAGACAAAACCCAAATGTGTATTTTTATTTACCAGCCACACATAATATAATGAACAGTTTACTGTATGTATAAAGCAAACCTTAGCTTGACTGACATTTCCATGGACAAATCCAAACCACACATGCATCCCTTAGTAATTAAAATAGTTGCTAAACAGAATATAGAAACTTTTTTTTTTGTTTGGCTAGCATGCATTTAGAGGTTTTTCTTTATACTTTGCAACTATGAGTTAAAGAGAACCAGCTACAAATGGGCATGGATTTGAATGTTTCTAAACTATCAGAAATGGGCAGGCTTATCTATGAAACATCTATATTTACCCTCTTACTTAGCTTACTTACTCTGATAGAGAATGACTCCCAGGAAGTTAAAGCTGAGAGGTCAACTGGAAGTTGACAATGGGTGCCAACGACCTGACCTGGTCATGATAACATATACAGACTCCAAGTTGTGCATCACAGTGTCACATTAACAGTGATCTGTAGATATGAAGAATTTAAACAACATAGATCCTTTTAGACATCAGGAGTAAGGACTGTTCACTTACCAGAGTGAATGTTCTCTTTGCAAATTGTTCATGTTCACCAATATTGGTAAATAAAAAGATATGTTCACAATGAAAACCTAATCAAAGGTAATTAAAAAAAGCAGGACTTTTGCATGCAATTGATTTGATGATTGAAGTGAATACAGCGTCACCTCGTTGACTAAGCAAACATATACTTTAAAAACTGAATGCGCTCTATTCCTTCAGTACAGCTTTTCTCAACCAGGGTGCTGTGGCAAACTGGTGTACCTTCTGGCTTCCTCCGGGGTGCCTACAAATGTTGTGGTAGTGGGACTGTGATGTGAAGGGGGCAGTTAAGACTCATGTGAAGGGGTCTCCTGATGTAAAGGGGGAACTCTGATATGAAAGAGGGGCTTCTGATGTGAAAGGGGGGGCTCTTGATGAGAAGGGGGGCTACCAATGCAAAGGGGGCATTGCAATGTGAAGGGGGAAAACTTTTTTGTATGTTTTTCCTTGGGGTCCCCCTTAAATTTGAAACTGGTGTGCCTTAAGAAAATATGACATTTGAGACTGGGGTACCTTGAGATTTTGCATACTTTTAAAGAGCTCCATGACTGAAAAAAAGGTTGAGAAACACTGCTTTAGTAAATCAAATCTAGTCGCTCAGGCTTTTTATATCACCATATGGTATTCTTTATAAAAGGTTATTTTACTGTACCATTGTATATGTTTTTTTCATACATACAGTCATGTGAAAAAGTAAGTACACCCCATGAAAATGAACAGTTTCCATGGAATGAACTTACTTTTTCACATGACTGTGAATATAGTATTGCATTCGCCTGTATTTACTATTTACATTTTCTTTTTCAGTGTGTGTTCTGTTTTGCTATGATGAAGGAGAAAGTTATTACGGTTTTGTTTGGTAAGTTTTACATTTGTATGTATGGTGTACAGTTAGTAAATGGTTTCCATTGAGTTTTTACATTCTGTAAAAGTGACTTCCTGGTTTTAACTTTCTGGGTACCCCTGTTCTGGTGGACCTCACACACATTCTCCTGTGAATGCTGCTAATTGTTTGGACTGAATTCCTTTATGACTGACCCAATTCTACACCACTTTGGAATATATTTATAAAGCATTGAATGTGACATTTGCCAAACAATCACTGTTGGTGTATCTTTCTGGGGCATGTGTTTGAAATTAGAGTTTACATGGAGAGAAAGAAAAGGAATTATAAAATGTAACTTAAGAGAAACAGGTGGTGCATTGCTTGGCTAGCCTGAAATGTATTTCTGTTATCTAACAAATAGTTGTAGAGTATTTCAGAACAATGTATGATATGCTATCATTGGCGATAAGGGGAGTAATTGAGGTGACATTGATTTGGCAGTGATATTACTAATTTCACTGTTAGCAAAATTTTGCAGAACCAGAAACTTGTAATTTTACTCAATACACATAATTTGTCTAAAATAAGTTAACTTTTTTTTTCACTGTTTTTTTTTTTCTTTTTGTGAAAAAAACATAAAATAATAAGGCCAATAAGGGGCTAATAAGTGGATATTTCTTGGCCCAATAATAGTTCCAGGATAGTTAAAAGTAGGGTCGGGCTCGGTGTTCAAGCCGATCGTGATTTCGTCTCGCACATCACCAAACACACAAACTATCAGGGCGTTCAGCAGGCTGTCCGCCTGCCGAGCTCCCCATAAGGCATTGGGCCTTCTGAAGCCCTGATTGGCTAAAGCCTTGCACCTGCCCACAGGTCAGGTGCAAGACTTTGCCCAATCAGGGGACAGAGAACTGTAAGAGTTATGATTGGGCAAAGTCATGATGACTCTGCCCAATCATGGCTCACCTGTTACAACTGTAAACAGCTGGGTGGAGCTAGCTGTCACTGCTAGCTCCACCCAATTGTTTATAAGTTGCTGGCATCTCTCAAAATGCCATTCATCGCAACAAACGTAACGTCGGTGGTCTGTGTTTTTTAAAAATGATTTCTATTTATTTTTTATTTGTTTTTTTTATTTCGTTGCGTCGTCATGGACAACGCTGGTTGTCGTTATTGACCCTGGATTACATTGATGGATCATTTTTTTTTTTATTTGCAATAGAGAACTCGTCAAAAATCCTTTTTTTTTTTAAAATAAAGGATTTTTGATTAAAGTCTGGTGTTGTTATTTAATCTTTTATTTAACCCTTTCGTGAATGGGTAGGGGTACAAGTACCCCTTACTTATTGACAAGGGGGGGCGGCACCTGATGTGAATAAGCCCCCTGCCCGCACCCCCACAACCAACACGCTAGGGCTTGTCGGGAAGAGGCCGTTGTCCCCCCATCGGCACGGGGACAAGGTGCTTTTCCAGGGGCGGCCCTGGAATAGCACCCTCCCAGTGCCAAGGGCATGTGGCCTGGTATCGCAGTGAGGGGGGCTGCTCGCTCCCCCCCCCCCCCTTTCCTGCCCTGCTAGGCCTTTGCTCGGATCAAGGGTCTGGTTGGGAATTTTAGGGGGCACCCCATCCCCCCCCCACTTTTGGTGGTGGGGTTCCTCCTTGAAATGCCTACTAGACCCTAAGGGCCTGATATGACTTTAAGTGGGAACCCCACACACTTTTATATTTGTTTTTGTTTTTTACATGGGGTCCCTGGAAGACAGGTGCAATTTAAAATCCATTTTACCAAAATTTGCCTAGTATACCCATTCAATGTGGTTAACAACATGAACGTCCACAACAATGTTCAAATTTTGCAACTATGGGCTTTGCCTTCAGGAACAGCAGGGAATAACTACTCCCTATTGAGTTCCTTTATACACTTTACCTTTATTTAACCTGTAAATATACAGATATTCACACAGTAACTGATGCCAGTGTTCAACACTTAGATGAAGAGTCTACAACCAGAGCACTTGGAAAACGGCAACTGCTGTGCTTCTAGTATTGGAATTGTGTCTGCTGAAACAGACAACCTTGATTGGCTGTGGGACAGGGAGAGCAGGGACAAAGCAGATTGTAGGACCTACAACGGGGCATAGGGGAGTCCACTAAAGGATTTAAGAACTGAAAATGCCACAAACTCTTTGGCAAAAGCAGACAAAATTTTGTGAACATTGGCATTCCAGCGAATCAGTGTAATGTGGGTAGAATCCTCCAGATTAAGTTGCTTTGAGCAAAACACATATCCTGTCTAGTCATTATAAGGCATGCAACAAGTATATTAATATTGACCAAAGTGACCTGTACAATTATCCTGTGACTACCTGTGACCACCTCAAATGTAAAAATGTTTTCTGGCTCATTAAAACTGCTTCTTAGCTCCCAGACTGGACTATGCATACCTCTGAATAACTGTATCCAGCATGAAGTTGCCGATTATATTTCAGTGTAACGCTTGAGAGTTCTTTCTTGCCAGATGCGTCTAAGAAGCAATATCAATACATCACATGGTAACGCATACATTATTAGGTGAAGGAACCTTTAAGAACACATTAGCTATATCTTGCCAAATTGAACACAATAGCTTTCTAAAGCATTTACAGTAGAGTGTCCCATTAGGGAGATTTACCTTTATTTTCTGTCCTGGAGACACATGCGACGTGAGAAGAAATCTCTCAAAAGTGAGGGAAGATCCCCTTTCGGGCAGTGAATATGATTGTAACATGAAACATAGTCAGAAAGACGGAATTACTCTTTAACCTTGTAGGCATGATCGGGAAAGCAGGCTAACTAGGATGGCACAGTCTTTCCTTTGCAAAGTCCCAGGTGCTGATACTTTAGAAATTCCAAGGCATTCCCAGAGTGTATGTCGGTGAAACAAAAGAGCAGCTAGACCAACATTTGGCACAGCATAGAATAGAGGGGGGGTGAGAGATCTATTGTCTGCCACATACAATGCTGTTTTAACACCTCTCTCTGGGCAGGTTAGTAACACCTCCTAGCTCCAATCATGCAAATGCAATCAACACCTGGTTGCGACTAACAGATTATGTGGATTGGAGCAACATTCACCATATTTATTCCCAGATAATTTTTTGTACAAGTCATTCTAAATTGAGAAAGCTGGTTGGATGTCTAGTGATACGTCTTCAAGAAAAATACAGGAAGTCCAGTTGCCTTGACTTATTTTTTACAGATATACCATGACCTGGATGAATGAGAACCTTCACAGAGATATTTCCAGAGTGCTCTGGATCTCTTCTAGACCTTTCTCCCAGTTAGATGTTTTACCTGGTACAGCCCCCAAGGCAGTCTTGTAGAGAACATCTGTATAAGAGGTGTATTGAGCTTTGAATACCCATGTTTTTGTTAACTGCTGTTGTCTTACAAATTGCTTCTCATGCTGATTAGCTCTATTTTTTCAATCCATGTATTTGTTCTCTGTTTCTTACCATACAGTTCTAATCCTGGGGTGTACTGGTGTATCTTCTAAGAAGAATAAAAAGAACAGACAACGTACGTTTTGATGCTGCTCCACCACTTGTGTTGTTACTTTAACAGATACAGTATTATGTGTAACACTGTTGCCTAAATTACAGTGCCACCTATTGGTTTTGGATTTTTGAAACAGCGCTCTTCCATTTTCTATTCTAAATTCATAGCTGTTAGTAACACAAAAGAGTGCCCCTTAACATTACAAAATACTTACAAGGGCAAGATTTTCCTACAACAGTTTACATCTTCATCTTCACCCACAAAGTAATAATAAAGATTTCACTAGTTTTTCTACTGAATTTGTTTTATTTATTTTATATTGCGGGGAATCATTTGAGGCTGGTGATGACACCATCACTTTACTTTGTAATGGTAAATAATGACTGCCTTTGGTCCGAATTTGAAATTTTGGGGGGAAGGGGGATATCTGAACACCAGCCTTCCTTAGGGATGTAATAAGCTTGCATGTAATCGACCTAGAAACAAAGCTGAAATATAATTTTTCAGTGGAGTTGACATGTAAAGTAAGAAATCTGTGATTCTTTAATTGTAAATCTACAAATCTTAGACTCAACTAGTAGTTCTAGTAACAGCTATCAAATGTGTGTACTAATATATTTTTATTTGTTTATTTATTTATTGCACATTTAAACGTGGGCCCAAAGCAGGCTTAGCTCTTTTTATTTCCAGTGTTTACAGGTATGTGTATGTAAATTCTAATAATTAGCTTATCTTATAAAGTGAGACATGACACCATTATTTTGATTAGTACCATGCTATGGAATCTATGTTATAAAAACAGAACAAGGCCATGTTATTTGACATGTGGCAAAAGAGAGAATAAGACGACACTTCAAAAGACAGAAAACACACGTTACTAGAGGTATTATATTGCAAAACACAGACTGATGGCATACTTGAAAAAATAACATGACCCCCTGATATTGGGATTTTGGTTCTGAAGTGCAATAAATGCAATGTACTCATGATAGAGAGCAGAAAGAAAAACGAATTTAGCTATTTTTCGAACAATTCATTCAATTTCATTTTACAATCAATACACATGTATGCATGTACTATAGCTTTTATGGCCATCATTTTCCAGTAACAAGTAGGTGTGTATAAGGTCAAATGTATTCCTTTTTATGGTGAGTCTAAAATAAGTATATACAGGGGTTTTTCACAAAAGGGTGAAGACTTTAGAGAAGGCAGGAGAAGGGAACAATCTAGGACAACATAGCTGATTTGGAAAGTGAGCTGAAATTGGCAATTTTTTCCAAATCAGCTATTTTGTTGTTCGCTTCTCCTGCCTTTTCCAAACTCTTCACCCTTTTGTGAATAACCCTGATAGTTATTTATTTAGCTACTCAGTTGCAATGTAACATTATTCATGCTGGAAAATCAGATTGTACAAAAGTACTACTGTTTCCAATATCTAATGAATAACCCCTTATAGTAATTCACCCAGTTAAAGTATAATTACCCAAAATATTAGTGGGGTCCTCAGAGTTATTGGAGTTTCTTGGCCATGTTCTAATTATATAATAATTTTGAATATCAGATGTGTGAGCAAAGCTTTCAATCAGTTTAGACAAAGCAAAGAATGAAAAGAGTGATTTTATTATCTTATATCACCAAAGATACACAAACATACAAACCTTATTGTGTACTTTCACAGATGTGCCTAGTATTGACTGTGAAATTAAAGCTGGAAAAATAGTCAATCCTGAATTCCTTGCAAGATGTCCTCCTGGATGTCAAGATGGAAAGTATCGTGTTTATGGCACAGACATATACTCCTCATTTTCCAGTATTTGCACAGCAGCCATTCACAGGTTTGTTGTTAAATATTATGTCTTACCTGTTCTGTTTATGTTAGGTGAATGTTTAATTTGGAAAAGTCAGTGTTATTTTACTGAAATCATTGACAATGCCAGTTTTTTATTTCCCATGCCTCTGATGCTTTCTGCAAGGTTTGGATTCACTGGTGCACAGTTTTCCTTCCTTTTTTTTCTATGACAAGCAAAATTCTGTTAGTTCATAAAAACCAGGGGGTATGATGGTGGCTAGTTTGCGCAGGAAAGGAGTGCAAATGGTATGACAATGGGCAGTATATGCAGGAGAGGAGTGCTTGGGGTGTAATGGTGGAAAATATGCGAAGGACAGGAGTGTGAAGGGTATTAGGGTGGTCAGTATGTACATGAGAGGAGTGCAAAGGGTATGATGGTGGGTAGTATGCGCCAAAGAGTAGTGTGAAAGGTATGATGGTGGACACGATGCACAGGAGAGGAATACTGAGAGTATGATGATGGGCAGTATGTGCAAGAGAGGAGTGTGGACAGTATGATGTTGAGCAGTACTGCATTTGCAGGAAAGTAGTGTGGAGAGTATGATTATGAGCAGTATTTGCAGGAGAGGCATGTGGAAGGTATGATAAGGGTAGTATGTGCAGTAGAGGAGTGCAGAGAGTAAGATGAAACCAGTATGTGCCGGAGAGGAGTGTGGAAGGTATGATGAGGCCAGTATTTGCAGGAGAGGAGTATGGAAGGTTTGATGAAGTCAGTATGTGCAGGAGATGGGTGTGGAAGGTATGAGGAGGCCATTATGTGCAGGAGAGGAGTGTGGAAGGTATGATGAAACCAGTATGTGGAGGAGAGTGCAGATGGTATGACCAGGAGAGAATGTGGACATCATTCACAATACATAGTCATAAAGTGTGGGGGGACAGGTTAGTGTAGGATACTTTTCTCTTTAGGGAGACATCAGATGTCTCTAGACCCTGATTTGCAATTAAGGTAGGTTAGGGCACTGTAGCACTGAAGGGAGAATGTATAGTCTCTGTGCTCACCAGAGCTGGCTGTTTGTTCCATAACCAACAACAGAACATTTGAGTATCTTCGTCTGCTCCTGTTTCCTTAGCAGACACCATCCCCCCATCACATACCGTGGACTGACAGTTTTCCCTGCTTCAGTCGCATTGACTGCCACAATCTAATGGGGCACTTGTTCCTTGTCTACCTCTTTTCTCCTTTTGCTCCTCCTGCCTGGCATCCTGACAGAGGCTTGTACTGCACTAACTGGTCAGCACTTGCTTGGGACATCCTTTTTTGCCGGTGTAATGTGTGGGGCAGAGATGTTACATTGCAAGCAATTCCACTTTGTTTTTTTCAGAGCAGTGACAGAAGTTTCAGAAACAAATGCAGCAGAACCACTTGCAACATAACATCTCTGCAACACATGTTACTATCTTAGTACAACCAATTTTAGATTTACCAAAACTTTGTAATATTACGACCTACCTAATCTATCCGATCAATTTGTATCTAATCAGGCAGACGCTTGCACAAAATAGTTTTTTTGAGATGTAAAGGTGACTATACAATCAGATTATAACGTATGTGGTAAACATTTTGTGCAGTGAGCTAGCAGAGTTGCAGGACAAGGGCTGGCAAAGTGGGATGGTGGGTTTGGTGAGGGAGAGTGTTTGGCCAAACTGGAGATAGTTGTGGTGGTGGGGGACAGCAGGGGGAGGCATTTGTGGCATGCCATGTATGTGCAGCAGAGTGGGGTAAGTGCTAGGGTAGTATGGATTGTTGCCAGCAACATTGTGGAATAGAGGATCATAGACACAGGAAGGAGGATGAGAACTTGGTACTGGAGGTAGATTCCCCCAGTGGAAAATCAAAACTCTAACTTAAACATTATGCTCACAAGGGGAGTTAACCTGCTGAGTAAATGGTACTCCAACTTAGCCTTTATATAATCAAGGATGGTTTATTTTTTTTTAAAAACATATTATTTAATGAAAAAACTCTCCCCAATACATATATAATAGCTACCCTACAAGGGTCAGTTCATCAACAAGGCCAGTTTTGGGTGGATGATGCAAGACTACTCAAAACAGAGAAATACCCAACACATTGTCAGCTGTCTGTAATAACAGTTTAATTATAGAATAAAATATATGGTAAATTCAAAACATTAAACCTGGTAAAGATATAGAAATGCATTCCGCCCGTGTAACAACCAACCTGCTAATAGTGCGGTCAGACCCAGCAACCCCCCTCGCCCCCACCAGTTGTATACGGCTATGACTAAGTTCACAGAATATCCTGAAAAACATACACATGCACAGCATGTGCATAAACTACTAGGATTCCAATTGCTGAATTTTGTCCGAAGAGTGCACCCAGGCAACAAATCTGAGCATAATTACAACTACTTAACAGATAAATCCTGAGTTATGTATATGTTCTGTCCCCGCTACATGTTAACCTGTGGTCTGTATGGCTCGACATCCAGCTAAACCCTCCTATTCTCCAATGAGCCAGACTGGATGAAATCTTGAAGCTTTATAAACAGAACAGGGTGGGTGAAACTGGGGAAAGAGAATATACAATCAGCATTGAACATGTTAATACAGTGGTAGCTCACAAATTTAAAGTGAAACAAGTCCATCCCTACCAGTGATGATGCCTAGGGGAATTTTTGCATTTTTCTCCAGACATGTGCTGATGATGGCACTGGATCCTCCTCTCCTCGGTTCCAAGATGGAGTCTGAGTCGCAGAGTGTCCCTCTTTCCTTCTTCTTGGGCTGGAGGTTCCTGGGATCCATCATAGAAAAACAGTCTGCTGTAAATAGAGATATGTTCTCTACAGCACCATCTTGTAGCCAATTTTGAGATGGCAGATAAGTAAGTCAATATACAGTATTTTATGTCTGTGTGACAGAACAGTATATAAACTGCTATATAGTTGTAACACCTATTCAGGACACATAAATGAGACACATAAATGAGTTTGCAGATACTTCCAATATATAACATTGAATGCATGCAGCCAATAAAGCGATTATCATAGAACAGATTTGCATGGATAACAGTGATAATAGTACAACTTTTCTTTATGTATGTCTTCTCTGTGGAAACCGCCTTATACAATTGCCACATGGGTTCTATACAAGTCTATTTTTACTTATTGAGGAGATATCTACATCCAAATTAAGTGCCCGCTTCACTGGCAATTGGGGAACCAGTCCCACAATCCAGCTGTTGATCCAATCTCAACAAGTGTCAATGCTTATGTACAGTATGGCACACAATCTGCTCTGTGCTGAAGGCCTGCTGTGCTTTTCCAGCAATTCCCTCTGCTTAGTGTGAAAGGCCCTACAAAAACTTTTCCTCAAGGTCTTATGACTGTACTCATTGTGCTTAAAATGCTGCACAAAGTTGATTAAATCTTTACCTAAAATAAGAATAATTCCTATGTGGATACATTAAGAGCTGCCACATCATTATACCCTAATGAAAAATACTGCGCACTACCTTCAGGCAGCATTTCTCAGAACCTGTATTTGAGTTCCCCTCTCCACAAACTGCTGTGATTTGATGAGACTTTATTGCTTGGCTCTGTAATGACTGTCAAGTGTAAGACAGCGTCTGCAACTTTGGTGGGGACATTTTATCATGGTAGCCCACAAATAAAGAAAAACAAAAGGTGAGCCCAAACCACAAGCATCCTTTTGAGCATATATGAAGCCTTTAAAAGAAGGACCTAAGTAACATCATGTTATTTTATGGTAATTCGGTGTTGTATGGTCAAAATCCTGTTATTTTTTATGAAGAACATTTGAAAAACTATCCACAAAGAGACCAGTTATATAAATATTTTGTGGACAGTTTTTGGATTTTTGGCATTGAAAAAAATCAATTATCCTAGCAGTCAGAAAACACTTATATTTATGTTTTGATCTGCAAAGTGTAGGCATACAAGGTGAAATTGTGTTATGGTCAGCTAGCAAAACATTAGGGTCAATTGACCATCAAAATAATATGGTATAGATTTTAAGTGATTTTTTTTATTGAAATAAAAACATGCTTTTTATTTCACAGTGGTGCCATTGATAATTCTGGGGGAAAAATTCTTGTTCGGAAAGTAGCTGGACAGTCTGGATATAAGGGAAGCTTCTCAAATGGGGTACGATCGTTATCTTTACCACGCTGGAAAGAGTCATTTGTTGTTGCAGGTAATAGACTTCTATGTACTTTTAAAATGAATATTTATATATGTTTCTAAATTAAATCTAAGGGGAACACTGCTTCTACCAAAAATCCCTATCTAGGATTAAAGTTAAACATTTTTACTATGAGACTTGGAGCCACAAAATGCGTACATGAGTGCTTGTGTGTCAAGCTAGTATATCTGAAGGTGGGAGAACATGCATTTTCTTAGTAAAAATATAATATAAAAAATACATTTTATGACTAATATATGATAATCCATAGATTGTAGAATATTCTATGATCTTTGTAGCATATGGTTTCATAGAAAATAAGTATAGTATGGTAAATCTATATAGCTGGTAGTTATATAACAAAGCCCAAAGTAAGTTAACAGTATTCATGAGAATCAGTTGTGAAGATCAGTTTTTAAGAATGAAAAGGCATAAAGTGATTATGTATGTAAGAGGTCCTTCAAGAAGACTCATGCTGTATGTATATACCTATGGTCTGTACCTCCAGATACAGTAATTAGCAAGTAATAATATAACGAGAGTGTTTAGCCAAGGTTTTTTATCAGCACAGAGTGGTATTTCTTAAGACATATAAAGGACATGTGGTGGGAGATAAGGGACACCAATCCATTTTCATCAGGAAAAAAAAAGGTCCATCAAAAAAGCAGACGTTAAATGATATTTCGTGGCCTCTTAGATCCAGCCTTTAACTTGATGCATGGCTGTTGTAGGAAACTGCATTTAGTGGTAGATGGTAGACGGAAATCAATATAGATTTGAATTCATCTTGTGAAGAAGACATATACGACTTCACATTATATGAAAAATGCAAACTGATATGGAAGCTTTTTCTGTTTGTCACACAAAAAGCTTTAAATATTATTAAAATATTCATATGTTAACCCACCAAGCTATAAAAACTGAGAATAGAACTCGCATACTTAGATAGTAAGTCAGATTAAAAAAGGCCCACATGTCCACAGAGTTGAACCAAAGAGACAAAAATAGATAAATAAAATGAGCATCTTCAGAACCCTAAGGCCTCGTTCACACCAGACACAGTCAGGGTTATTCACAAAAGGGTCATGAGTTGGAGAAGGCAAGAGAACTGAACAATCTAAGACAGTGGTGGCGAACCTTGGCACTCCAGCTGTGCCAAAACTACAAATCCCAACATGCATCTGCCTCTTGGAGTTATGTCTGTGGCTGTCAGAGCCTTGCAATGCCTCATGGGACTTGTAGTTCCAAAACAGCTGGAGTGCCAAGGTTCGCCACCACTGATCTAGGACAACATAGCTGAATTGGAAAGTGAGCTGAGTTGGAGAGTTTTTCCAGTTCAGCTATTTTGTCCTAGATTGTTCACTTCTCCTGCCTTCTCCAAACTCTTCAGCCTTTAGTGAATAACCCTGAGTGCGTTCCGGCCCGATTTTGGCCAGAACGCCCTGCATCGCATTGCGGCTGGCTCACTATGTTGTGGGGCAGAAGGGGGCGTGACGGTACATTGAAGTGAATGGCACCGTAGCCACACCAGAATTGGGCCAGAATTGTCTGGTGTGAACAAGGCTTAAATCCAGAGGAAGGCAAGAAACAGTTATAAAGCATGGACTAATTTGCTCCAATAGGGGAATGCTCCTTGCTAAATCCCTAAGGCAAGAAGGTTTGTTGAATATATTTTAAATCACTGATACAAGATGATATGGTTCCTATCTCGCATAAGTATCACTAACTCATTCTTTGTAAATTTGTAATATATGATAGGAAAGATGTCTTGTTATATCTTGTCCTAAGTATAAAGACTCAAACATAAATTGTTTTAAATATTTGAATACATTTTTACAAGTGGACTGATTCAGAATTGTATAGCTGATAATCTGGTATCTGCTGTGAATCACACTGCTGCACGTCAGATGCTGTTCTACTAATTTAAACATATATATTACAAAACATTGTGTAATGTTACTATGTTATGTTTGTTTTAATTAGAAGGAAAAGGAAAGAAAGGTGTCACATATCCCACTGTTCTTGAATTTGTGGAAGCTAGAGGTAAGTGTTTTCCCTAATGTAATTTATTTGAAACTGGTTTATCATGTTTACTATGTAGTAAACAACATTAGATATCATTTACTTTAGATATTTTATGGGAAAACAAGAATAGCTGTATAAAATAAGGGTCTCTGTACTTGGTAAAATGCACTTCGATAGACAATGTCTGTATAATTACATTTCTATATTATGTTTCAAAGAATCATGCCCCAGAAATGACAGTATTAATAGCATCAGTAATATCTTAAAGTTATAATTTGGCTTACCAATTATACCATATTTAAAGGGACATCCCCCTTCTCTGGGAAAGAACATTCCTTCTGACTGGTGGTAGAAACTCCCCCTATCAGAACCTGACTCACAAAGAATTTACTGCTGCATCAATCATGTGATCTAAGCATCTGAAATATCTTTTAAACAACAAAATGTCTCCACTCTGACGCATTTCCCTTTGCTCGCAGGCATAACTGTAGTGCCAAGTCTATGATTAAGCCCTCAAGTGGAGTAAAACATATCAGTGTGGAGAAGTTTTGACTTGGTGGTTGTTTCCACCTATGACCTTTAAAGATATTTAAAATGCATAAATCACATGGAAGTTGCTGCCATGAATTATTTGCAAGACATTGGAAGGGAACCCGATCTCAGCTAGCAAGAGCAACCTAGAAAAGCCTTTCAGTGGTACACCAGTGGTACACTATCACTGCTATCTGCTACTTTTTAAATGAACAACATTTTATAGTGCAGATTCAGGGAGCAAAAGGCAGCTGTGATTGTGAGTAATACTAAGTAATACATTCCTAAATGCTCATAAAGACAACTATCCAGTACTGAAATATTAGACATTTAGAACCAAATATTTACACAGGTTAGTAGCTCAGGTTGAATTTACATACATACATAAGTTATATCCTCTTTGTCACCCTTCTTCAGAGGTTTCAGTCAAGGCTAGTAGATTCTGCATTGCTGTCTGTGTTCTGGGATTACTGGAGACTTTAGATATCGAACAACCTTTTTATCTGTGTCACACTAAGATTTTAATGAATAAACTCACTCAGTATTATGTTGGCTACAAATACTTCTTGTTGATAGGAGGACAACACCCAGTGTATGGCTGTTCTATGGGTGTATGGAGGGAAGGTCTGGAGCTACATGTTTTGCTTTTTTATGAAGATATTACAAGATACATATATGTTCACAATTGTTTATTCTTAGTCCATATGAATTTATTAACATTACTGATATGATTAGTCTACTTTTAAATCATTGTTAGTATTTACTGTAAGAGATTTACCAACTATGACTAGAAAAAATATTTTTTTTTTCCCCAGAAGTCTTACAGAGAGAGGCACCGTCCCCAGTTATAACTACAACTCAGGCAGTCATTACCACCACCCCTACTACAACAACTCCACAACCTACAACTCCACAGCCTACAACAACTCCAAAGCCTACAACCACCCCCACAACTACTACTACCATACCCACAACAACTACTACTACAACAGCCAGGGCAAGACCTCCACTGGTACGGGCAAGAGATACAGGTAGGTAGGTTGGAATACATTTATAAAATTCTTTGACATAGGTGTAGTAGATTGATGTTGTTAAAATGTATTTAAAATTTACTAGCCACATTTCAAATATGTGTGCTTTAGTGTGGTGCTTGAAAAGAAACCCTGCTTGCTGCAGTCTCCAGAAAGGGAATCTTCATGGGGATAGTTGGTACAGCATTTAAAATGTATGCAAAAAATATGAGAATGCACCACACCACAAATACAGAGACATCAAGAAAGCCTTCAATACAAATGTAAAAGATAGCAGCATAAAATACTGTAAGCAACCTCATCAATGCGTGGCAAATGGTATATAAACCCCCCCAAAAAAATTCCATATTGTAGCTTATCCATCTGTAGATAGAGTGGCTGCATTAGTTTACTTTCTTTTTCAGGCTTTTTCCTTTTTTATTGTACTTCCTGTCCCTAGGTGATTAGATTCCACTGTGTTTATTTAGGGGGCCTTGGTTGTCACCCAGGCTGGACTTCAAACATTCCAGTCCATATCTGTTTAAAACATATACTGTCAAAGACCAAAGAGACAATGGTGCAGTCTAAACTGTATAGAATGGCAAGCACTCGAGAGAAAGATAAGAACATTTACAGTTCATGTAGAACAAAAATGAGCCCTCAGTAAGCTTATCTTTTTTGTATTTATGGCTATTCTTTGCAATTTCAACTTTAAAAATGTGTGCCTTTATTCCTCTTCATGACATAGGGGCTGATGGGAGTAGTAATTTACTATAAAAAGATAAGGCTGTTTGTGCTTTTTGTTAAGCACACAGGAAGTAACAAGGACTTTGCAATTCTGGCAAAAACCAGAGATGTTTTTTGTTTCTATACTCACCAAGCCGGCTGCCTGCTTCTCCAGTCACTGAAGCATGTCTCCTCCTATGCTGCAGTATTAGAATGTTCTTCAGTGTCCTCACATCAATATATGTGTATATACTGTGTATAGAACAATAGAACGTGACCATTTACAGGACCTTAGACCGCTGCAGCAGAGGGGTAGAAAGGCTCCAGGGACTGATCTAAGAGAAAGCCTGCTCTGAGGATCAAGTGCGTATAACTTTTTTTTTAGCACCTAAACAAAAATGAGCACTTAACCCTTGCAGGGAGTGAGGCTGCAAGGCTTAAAGGAGAACTATGACGTGTGACAACACGTCAGCTCAATAGATCGGGAAGTAAGCGAACACATACAGTCGCTAGCTCACTTCTCGATCATCTCCCTGCAGAGAGCTGTGACTGTCACTCACGGCTCCCCGCAGGGATTTCCCCCTCCCCGTTGACTGGTGGAACAGACGGGGCGGGTACAGCTGGCTCTGCCTTTGGATAGGCAGAGCCAGCTGTCACTCCCGCAGCTGGGTGGATCTCGACAGTAATGTCGGGATCCATCCCGGCTGTGGCGGTCTCAGTATACTGCGAGCTGTAGCTTGCAATATACCGAGCTTTGGGTCACGGGAGGACGTTAGTATATGTCCTCCCGTGATCCTTAGGAGAACTATGGGGAAAACACTTACCCTATAGTTCTCTTTCAAGAAAAATTCTGCCCAGAGTCCTGCTTTAAATCCTGCTATCTAACTTCCAAACTCCAAAATCTCCTCCTAACTTGATACAGTATATGTTCTTATTCAGACCCAGTCAAGTAGAAACATCTTAGCCATGTGAGAAAATAAAGCTACGTTACTTTACTACCTCAATATGAGCATGTGGTAGTTATCATTGTGTTGCTATACCATATCAAAAACCTTGACTCTATATTAAGTTAATACTTTCTTGTGTACCTGGGGGCAGTTGATTAAAAACAATAGGCTTTTTACAGTAACAACCAGCACCCAGAGACCTGAGACTGCCGAGGCTGGGAGCTGATGAGCTGCAATTTTATATTAATAGGTAGTAAAGGGCACTGCTAACACATTCCCACATGTCCTATTGATAATAATATAATAATAATAATAATAATTAATAATAACTCCACTAGCTACTTATTAATACTTTAGGTATAAACATACTTAGTCTAAAAGTACTGGAAGACTTGAAAGGTTGGCACTATGAATAGCATCAAACTGAAACCTAAATAAGGGGGTACTGGTGACATATGCCATCTTAAACCAAGATACCGGCTCTAACCAAGCATTGCCAACTGTCAACGTATGGCAATGAGTTCTCAACTCATCTGGTAGCAGTTCTATGGATTACTAGACTTTGTGCGTCTTATTTGCTTCATGCATTGCTTAGATAAATTTTCTCTTATTTTTACTTAACTGAGGATCATAATTATGTTCTTGGATTAGTTCTGTTTATAGATACATGCCAGTAATGCTTAGATTATTTTAAATTGATTTGGCAAATTATTAATACTACCATTTTCGTTTTTAGCAGCAAGTAACATACATCCAGCGTACCACTCAGTTGTTGCTGCTTCATCAAGTAAGTGTCTGACACAAAGCAGCTGATCTTTGTGCTTGAACTATTTAAATAATATCTTAATAAAGTTTTTGCATTTGTAAAATTGTGAATTGCAGCTATTTGGTTTAACATTTTAGGGCAAGCTGTACCAGCACCACAAGGAAGAATTCCAAATCAAGGTATGCCATGGCAAATATTGTTCTGGAATGCTAAAGTGAAACTGTACGCAGACAACTAGATACATAGTTGTAATATATACAGTATGTTTACCTGACAATGGATTTGTAATTTTCTACAGTCGATTTTTTTTACAAACTGTTCTATGATCAAAGCCTAATTCTAGGCTCCATGTTTCCCCCACAAATGACCCCCTTCCCTTTTGTAGTCCCCTACAGTATAGCCCTCAAAGGGGGCAGGCTCATGACACCCTGTATTCACAGCAATGTTCAAAGTCTTCCTGGTTGAGTGGCACCAGGCATCATTCAACCCAGAAGACTGAGGACATCTTGTGGCAGAATAGTAGGGGGGCAGCAGTATTGCAGCCTGAGCTCCTTTTTTATTTTTTAAAATGCTGGGGAACAATTTTTCGCTCATTAAGCTTCCTTTTTCACCCCCCTCCTTCCACCCTACCTATTGAACAGCAAATTAGCACCATTCCTCTGTTCAATGTGCAGGAAGCTTACCATGAAAACAATAAAGCTAACCAAGGAAGCAGTAATGCTAAACCAGAAAGTGGCAGAATGATCTTACAGAGTGGCACAGGTGTGAGTATCACAATATTGGTCAAATGTACAAATTCTTGGCAGGCAGGCGAACAGTAAATATATACAGTATATATTTCAACTACGCATTTAGATAGTCGCCTGGCATTACACTATAATGTATCCAAACTGAACTTAAAACCATTTAGAGCTAATTATCACAAACTCTTTTAAAGTTGCCAGGTCACCAGCTACTTATGCAAGCAGTCGACAAATAACCAGGAGCAATCCAGGTAAGAAAAAGCTATTATATTTTTACAAGTAGATATACATTGAACAGTTCTAGAAGATCTAATTGATAGTTATACAAGACCTGACTTTTCTTTGCTCCATTTATGCAATATACGCAAGAAGAAGCATTAGAACATCGAGTAATCCCTCTGCTCTATAATTCTGTCAGCACATGTGACTGCACACTGAATGGCTCCTAGTGTTGCCCATCCCTCTCCCAGTTTGACTTTACAAGGAACAATTAGGGTTGATATCAAGACAAATTTAGATACAGTTACATTTACAAATACAATTCATGATGTTTAAATAAACATAGAACTGTTTAGATTGGTGTTATATCTGCTGGGAGTTTGGCTTTAAAGTGAATGTAAACCGTAATATACTTCTCTTATTTGGCCTCTTTTGGTCTGTTAAATATACCATTGAAAGCATTTAGTTATAGCTGTTCAATGAGAGCAACAGAAAAAAAAAAACATGATCTGGCCAGAAATTAATTGAGCTCAAAGGTTACTATGTACTCTGCAGTGTTATCCTACACCAGCCAAGTTAACCTCTTCCCCCTATTTATGGTGATGAGATGAGGAAAGGGGGACACACTTCTTGTCCTAGGATGGCAACACTGCCCTTCAATAGATAAAATAAAATGAGCATTGACACCCTAAGACAAGTTAGTGGCAGAATCACAAGGTGAAAATAGAAAAAAAACGTGAAAACTGGTGCAGCCACCACATCTAAGGACAGGAACGCTATAATATATTATATTATCATTCTTGGATATAGATCCGTGGTTCTCAAATGGTGGGTCATGACCCAAAAGTGGGTCTCAACCCCATGTTCAGTGGGTCTCCGCATGCCTGCCACTGTGCTAGGTAAGAGGCTCCTTAGCCTCCCCCTAGCACAGCAATGTCAGTTCTTGAGCTGGGCAGCCATTCAAAATATGCTGCTCAGAGCCGAGTGTCAGCTTGAGGTGGGGTCGGCTGAGGGTATGGCCGTGAAGGAACTCAATCTATAAGTGCATTGCTTACAGCTCCCTGTAGAGGTGACTGGACTGGAGTGACATCACATTTTGGTTCCCAGGGTGCGCAAGGGAGCTGTACAAGCAATGCCCATATGGATGGAGCTCTGTCACAGCACAGCAGCCCACACTGGACCCCAGGCTGAGGATCCACTCCAATTCTCATAAGGTAGGGAGACTGGGTGGATCTTTAAAAAGGAGTGTATGTGTGTTTTTATGGGTGTGTGAGAATGTCTGTGAGGGTGCGAGATTGTGTAAGTCTGTCAGTGTTTTTTCACAGTAGTACAGTGCATTCATTGCACGGTCCCATGAGAATAACGTACTGTACCATGCAATCGCATCTACCGTGCGTTCATTTGAATGGCACGCCAAAAGCACCTCCCGCCCACAGTTCTATCAACTACACTGGAACGTGGAGACAACAAAGGATAAAAAAACACTGGTCTAGATAAAATTTAAAATGGAAGTAAAGGGAAAAAAATGCAGAATGGTAGGCTTTTTATGGCAGAAGAGACTGCGTAAGTCTCCTCTGCCATAAAAGCTTATTTTTGCCATTCAGCAGTTTATTGCGGAGCTCAGCAAGCAGACCCACCATGCCAAGATGAAGTAGCTACCATGCACATGCATGGGAGTAATGTCATCGGACCCAGCCAAACAAGCTATGCATACTAGCACATTATTTCTAATACCTTCTGGGGGCCTTTTTTTATTTTTGGTGTTGTTTACCTGGGTTTACCTCCGCTGTAAGGTGATAGGAATGGACTTTCTGATGTTAGCACAATTGCATTGTTTCTTCGATATCATTAGCAGCCCATTGATTCACTATGCTGGTTGTCCAGAACTTTTGTGTATCAAACTGTCAATAGCCTTCTTGTCCCAGTGCCTTATAACTCCTACACTCCCCGTCTGCACTACTGAATTTATTTTGACTCTCTAAATTGTGCTGTCAGTATTTCACATTAAAAATCAGATTAAACATTGGCCTGTTTCCTGCAGTAACTTTAAACCACCAACAGACATGCTTGTTTCTCTCTTGCCCTCTTGACAGGTGCCAGTAGAATTCAGCAGATTTTAGCTGAAAAGGCAATTCAAGCAAATCCAAGTAAGTAGTACAGAGCATGTAAGTGTAAAATGTTTACGTAGTATTATATAACATCTGGAGGCAGGAAAGCAAATACTGTAAAATGTTATTATGGCACTCAGCTTGTTTTTTTTTATTTTTCCCTTTCCAATAAATCTTTTCTGAAGTTATTAAAGAGTATTATGATAGAAAGGTTACCAGATTTGTGCAACACAAATTAAATATATATTTATCCAATAGGCTGAATCCATTAAAACTTGAGAAGAAAATTATGGTTTGCATTTAATATAGAATTTGCGGACCACAATAAAGAATGGGAGCCTCAAATTATGAGTGAAAATATGACCTTGACAAATCAAGCAAAATGGATCATTCTGTTTTAAAATGTCAACAAGTGGTTTACATAGATTAAAATTCCATCCTCTATAAACTGTTGTAGTAATTACTTTTAAAGAAGAAGTTGGAACTTTAAAGTTAATCTGTGCTTTGCCCTTGCAGGAAAAACTAAAAGGTTTACTTCAAATTCAACCCCTGCAGAATTTTTTACTTTCCTTCACTCTCCTGCTGCTCCATTCACCCCTGGGAGCAAGGTGAAAAAGTCTTATGTAAGCTCCAAGTTGATCTCAGTTGGAGTTGCGCAGGGCTGAAGCCATTCTACCCACCCCCATCTAAATCTGCTGAGCCAATCAGGGGAGTGAATCAGCTGATCCACTATGCTTGGAAGATTTAGGTATTTCTCTTTGCTGGCAAGAATACTTGTTGATGCGGCACATAGCACCATGTTCCAAGGCCTTATTGAATAAACATAAATAGCTCACATGGCACAACTGCTTTTGTTTTAAGGATTCAATGCTACTACTTGAGTGTTGGTGATTTTCATCCTCCACAAGCATGATACAACTGCTAGCGGCTGAAATGCATTAGCAATTTTACCATGTATGCTATTTTTGTTTATTCAATAAAGCCATAAAACTTGGAGCTGTTGATGCCTCAACAAATATTCTTGCATGGGGGTGATTGGGAGCACGAGTAATGCTGAGCACGAGTAATCCCTGAGAATTCTATTGAGGGTGGAGGTTGAACAGGTACACCTTTTTTATTTTCACATTTCTCTTTTTTCCCAGTGGGAGTGGATCAGTGGGGAAGTGAAGGGAAGGAAAGAATATGCAAACTTTAAAAGGAACCTGTTACTTTGTCTAGCACTGGCAAAGCACAGATTCAACCTAAAACCCTTCTCTATTTTTATGTTAAAGTGTAGTAAACCAATAAGATCACCAGCTTTGTAAACAGAATCTATTGAACTTTTTCGTCACTTACGCTTTTACAGTAACTTGGCGTGTCAACCCCCAAAAAACTGAACTCTGCTGGTAGATAAGAGAATTTTCCATGGGTTTTTTTTCCATATAGCATATACAGAAAAAAATAAGCCTATGACATCTATATTATTAAGGTGTGCAAAGACGTGACTGGCAAAGTCCTAGCCGAGGAAATGTTCCAGTTGTGCAACGCAGACCAGTAGGTACGATCACTTTAGAAACTACCAATAATATGAATACATATCATTATATTTGTATGTGGTGAATGATAATAGTTTTGCAACAATAGTTCCAGAGAGAAGCAATGCAGCTCCAAATACTGGACATATCTTATCCTCAGACACACGCGATATTCAAGGTAACTGATTTATATTATTACTGGGAATAAATAATATTAATAATAATTATTATGAATAATTTTATCTGACTAGAGAAAGGCAATGAGGGGGCATTCCTGAAAAGAGAAAGAGACAAATCAGCAACAACTATTAAAAGCTGGTACATGGAGGTTTATCTTTAATGATAAATCTTTTTCCATTGTAATATTTATCCTTATTAGCAACTTATCTACTTTCTCCTGCAGCTGCCCTCCTAATGCAAAGCAACCAATTAGAATTTTTTCATGTTTGCAGCACAGGTTAAAGTTTAAATGTTGAATCCGGGTTGATTGTTATTGGCAACACCATTTTTTTTACTGTAGTTTTCATAAATAAGCTCATTGTCAGTTGCATGCTCGAGCAGTGAACGTCAGTATTTTTTCCTCTCATTACTTCTCATAATACCTCAACTGTCACAAGCTACTAGTATTATGATACCATAGTGGCTTTTTGTATTCTTGTGAATGATCTATTTTAGGTTTACAGCGACGAGACTGGCAAACTCCAAGTCGAGTACAAGTCCCAACTGTTCAGCGTAGGCCAACAGGTATGGTAATAAAATCTAAAGTTGTGAATTATTCTTTTTACAAACTATATGATTAACTAACCGTGGTTTGTATTTTCATAGGTCCTGATACTGGTTATTATGCTCCCCCTGCTGTGCCTAACTTGTCTGCAGAAACATATGACACTGATGGTAAAGGCTTCTTTTATTTGAACATACTTATTAGCTAAATGAATAAATGCTATTTACAGGGCTACTAAGATTGCATCAGCAGCTATGAGGCACCATGGTGGTGGAGATGGAGCAGGAAATGCTGATGGTGATTCGTATAACTGGGGTCCCTGAGAGATATAAGTAGCCTGATAATGATTTAGCCAATCAACATTTCTCCCATAAGTGAAATATAATCTTAGGTGAACTGATCCTTTAAGTTAAAGACTAGCTATGACCATGCTCCCCACCAACAGACAGTGCTCCCCACCCCCCTCTATGTAATCACCACAGCAATAAAAAAGAATCTAAATGGCCCAAATACTTACATAATGGACCTAATACATAGTTACATGACACAATGGAACCTATTTCCTCTCTTTTGCACTGCGGAGTGGAGAGTTCTTCTTCAGGTATCCCCATCACTAGCTGGTGACAGGAACACTTTCTATTGACTGTCCACTGGTGGGGCCCTTAAGACTTCAGTGGTGGCATGTTGACATCATGAAAAGGGGCAGTGATGGGCCTAGTCTGCAGCTGTCATCCGCTCCCGAATGTTTCACAGCAGGACACGCAAGGTCCGCCCTTTTCAATGGCATGCAAAATCACCACATTTCCCCCCTACTTTGTACTTACTTTGCACTCTTTTGGCACCTAGGTGAGGGTGACATAATGATCCTCCTGGCAAGATTGTTGGAACTCCTGCACTGTGCTGGAGCATTTTTACATGAAATTTATAATCCCCATCATTTTCATAATCTTGCCAGAAGGATGGAAATGTCACCCTCTTCATTGAGGAAGTATATATTTTTAACTTTTCTTCATGGGGGAAATTTTAGGTGGCAGTCTACTATTAAATAAGTTGACTGTGCAGGGTAGTGTTGGCAGACCCCTTAGGGAGCATTCCATCTACTACTGATGGATTATTAAATAGTATATTATTTATACACAGTATGATTCTATTTAGGGAATGTGTGCGTAGGTGTGTTAATTGTCCTTATGGTTAATGGATCTTGGATGAATAAAGTTATTGTCATAGTTATTATTAGTTCTGATCAGTTAAGGTATGAAGGCAATTTATAATGTATTTGGAATGGATGTAAAGCTGGCCATACACTGCTCGAATTGACTGCTGACTTTGCTGGAATTCAACCAGTGTGTCCCCCCATTGGCACACCTCCGTTCAACCAAAGTTTATTTTTCAGTTGACTTTTGTTGAGGGAGTCAGTGTAAAACTTCTCAGGCAAACAGTAACAGCAGCTGATTGTCAAACAATCAGCTGCAGTCACTGTTTGGTGTGTGGGTATACTGACAATCATAAACTAAGAGTCTTCAACAGAATAATATAAAGGGGGTGATTTACTAACCTAAACACACGCATGCACCAGGTGCGTGTGATTTTCACACAGCAAAACGTATTTATCAACCAAAAAGTCTCTAAAAGCATATTTTCACTAATGCCATATATGGAAAAATCATGCACATGATGCATATATAATGCTGCTTCACAGTTTAGACAAAAATGGTTAGCTCATGCATTTACATTCCTGCATTCATCAACGCAAGCAACACAATGTAGAGCTAATTTACACAACATCACCTTGCAAATTCATGCTTGGCTTTGCACAACACACCTGCTGGGTGTGTACACACTACACAGGTGTTTAGAGTCCACCCATAGACCATGCTGGGAGGGAACACACTACAGAGGTGTATACATGTTCGTGGTGTGTTTATAAGGTTAGTAAATCAACCCCAAAGACTCAGAGGGTTATTCACAAAGCTGCCGAAGGATCCAGCCGCAGCTTCCACTGATCTTTCGGCTAGCTCCGGTTACGGTAGCCCTTCGGTTCAGTAGAACCGAAGGGCTGCTGTACGGGCTATTCACTATAGCCCGTACAACTCCCGAAGTTGGCCGAGCGGCTCGGTCGAGCCGAAGGCATATGCTTCGGCTCGACTGAGCCGAGGTGAAGGCCGAAGCGGGCCAAACGGCCGGCCATTGGCCGTCCGAAAGCCTGCTACTGAAAGCTGGGCAGAGCCAGCCGTCATCTCACGGCTGGCTCCGGCCACTTGCAATGACAGATTAGCGTCCCCTGGTTACTAGTTAACCAGGGGACGCTGATCTGTCATTGCAATGAGAACTCGGCAGAGCCACCGTGATATCACCGAGTTCTCAGTGTGTAATAACAGTTCAGCGTCCCATGGTTACCTGGTAGCCAGGGGACGCTGATCTGTCATTACGATAAGAACTCTGCGGAGCCAGCTCTTTCGCTCCCTCAGCCTCAGATGTCAGCTCTATCTTGACAGCAGCAGCGGCTCCTCTCCACTTGCTCCACCTCCTCAGGTCTGCTGTGTGTGTGCTGGCTGTCTGTGAGTGTGGGCTCCTGACTATGAGAGCTGAGTGGAGCCAGCTTTGATATCACCGCCGGCTCCGCCAAGCTCTCATTGTAATGACAGGTGGTCCCGGCCAATAGAAAACAGTTTCCTATACGCCCAATCGTTTTCTATTTTTTTTCCTACTTTTTTTAAGTGGTTTTCTATTCTGCTCGGTACCACAGAGGTACCGTGCAGAATAGCCGAGCCGAATGCAGCTCGGCGGCATTCAACTATTCACTCATTGCTGTTCGGCCCCTATGAGAATAGGCCGAACAGCAGCGAGTAGCCTGCCGCAGGTTCGGCTCAGCCGATCCAGATGTTCGATCGGCTGAGTCGAACTCCTTCTGCACTTCGGGTCAGCTGAACATGCTGAGCATGTTCGGTCGACCCGAACCCAGCCGAAGCAAGGCGATGAACGGCTGATTTCAGTCAGTGTACGGCTGAAATCAGCCGTACCAGCCTGAAGTGAATAGCTGAACAGCGTTCGGTTCACTTCACTTCGGGTCGGTTATTCACACGGCTGCCTTCGGCAGCTTTGTGAATAACCCTCTCAGATTCTCAGCTAATGCTAAATAAACAAAGAACATTCAGTATCATCAGTATACAAATGTTCAGTTGCAAAAGTCATGGAAAGTCATCAAATGGAGAACGTAAGGTGACATCTTGCTAAAGTGTAATAGGATGTGATTTGAATATTTCAGCTACCAGTGCCCAACTAATATTTTTAAACACACAAAAATTACTACGGTAAACTCCCTGTTATCCAGCATCCATGGAGATTGGTACATTCTTGATAAATTTAGTTCCTGGTTGCTTGAGAGTTACTATTAAAAATGTGTTTAACTAATGCTATACCCCATACTATACCATACCATAACATAAACTGTTTTGATTTCATATTAATATTGAAATAAAGTAATCATAAGCAAATTAAGACAGACACACTTAGTATTAGTGCTGCAATACAGGTGCTGTAATACAAGCGCTCTAATACAGGTGCTGTAATACAGGTACTCCAATACAGGTGCAATAATACTGGTGTGGTCATTTTGTGTGCACTGGAGCTGCCTGACAGTGGGACTGGAGATCTACAGTATACTGTAGTGTAAACCATGGGCAATACAGTACTGAGAGTGATCACTAGGTATCGATTGTTCACAGACGATCGTTCAGACATTTGTTTCCAGGATAATACAGCACAATTCTCTACCCTCTCTACCTTCCCATGCTGCAGAGCCCGTTCTCCCTCTCCTACAAGGTGGCAAATCAGTAAGTGCACAGTGACATTTTTTTTTTGCCGGTTAGATGAGAGTTCTGGCTAGTTGAATACCGGTTAACAGAGAGTTTACTGTACATTGTTGTAGTTAAAAAATTTTACTTACATGAGTTCTTCTAAATCTCTGAAAACATGAATTTCTTTTGCATGCACTAGATCTTTGATATTTTTTTCATGTTCTGATCTGTTTCAGTATCACAGAGGCGAGACTGGCATAGATTAAATGTTCCCCCAGTACAGCGCAGGCCAACAGGTATGACTGATAACTTTTTCTTATTATTAAGGTGAGCATTGTTTTTCCTAGAAATCCACTTAGCATTTAATTTAATCTTCTCTTTCAATACATTTTACCAGATTCATACCCACTAATCATCTGGTATTTTTTTCCAGTGGCTTTTCTTTTTTAACACTTTTTATTTTAATTAGTAAGTCACCTTCAAACAATATCCATTGAGCTCACCATGTATAAGGGCTGGAAATCCCCATGGTTAGGAAATGATTAGTGTGCAGGACCTCTACCATGCAGATATCAGTCTATATGCTTTTCAGCAGTAAGTGGACACTTTAATAGCCTAGTGAGTACATTTCAATGTATTTATAGCAGTAATTGGACTGTAGGATTCTGGGACTGTCTACCATACAGTTCAAATGTTTTCAATTACAGCTTTCAATTACACAAGCATGTAAACATTTTGACGTTTTGTTCAACAGCTTAATCTTCATCTTCATCTCTCCACTCCCTTGGCTGCTGATGTTTGCCTGCTGCCCCACAGAGAGCAGTGATATGTGACTGCCATGAGAAGGACAAGGGTGTTTTTATTGGAGCAGAGTTTTTGCTTATAATATATTCTGCTAAAATATATATCCTTTCTTCGACTCCCCACATTCTTGGTTATCCTCTTTGGACATTGTAAGAGCAGGTACCTAACAGGTGATCTGGAGCTTTGAGAATTTGAACTTTTTTCTTAGGGTGTCCTCTACTTAAAGCGCATTCCTTGTATTAAATGATATATAAGCTGTTATCAGCGTGGAGGAGGCCGACACACTTGGGTTTGTTCAGCCATCTGGATACAGCTAGTATGCATGGTGTTGATGAGCCAATATCCATTAAAACAATCAGCCTAAGCCACCATAGGGATCAATTTGCTCAACTCTGCTTGTAACAATATCTTTAGCATAACAGAACATTGATTTCAGTTTATATTTTTAGTTCCAGAAAGTAGCAACGTAGCTCCTCCTGCTGCTCCATTCTGGCCAGTAGAAACTCGTGATACTCAAGGTAAAAACTATGTGGTTTTATATTTATAATTGTGCTGTTGTTATTATTATTTGTAGAAGCAGTACTACTATCTAAAATAATATATTTGTTGCTAAATGTAAACTCTGTATTTACTATATTTGGTTGTGAACAATATGGCATAGATGATTAATACAGTTGGTTTACCCAGAAGTGAATATGGAGCTTATTTAGGCGAACCAATTTATTTGTGAACCTATAAAGAGGTCCTTTCGGCTCAATTACAGTTTAATGCCTACATACGTTGGCCCTTCCCCAGCCTCTCCGTTTCATCATGATGTAGATAAAATTATACTGATATGTACAAAGCTCTTATTTGGGCTTATAACTTCCACATAAAGGTAACTACTGTATGTCTTGATGACACAGCACACCCACAAGATAATTTGTCATGTTATGTTTGGCCTGTATATTGAAGCAGAACTTCAGGCAGGTATGTTTAAAAACATGTTATATATGTATTAAATGTATTTTTTAAATACTGACAATATAGATACTTAATATCCATCTTTATGTATTTTTCTCTTAATCACCTAACACATAAGCAATTAGACTAAAAGTGGGAAGTTATATGTTGTGAGCCAGTCAAGGACTACTGCATTGCACAGCCCTGCATACAGATCGCAGTAGAGTACAGGGAAACTTTAACAGACTCAAACATGACTATAGAATATACTATAGTATACAGACCAGTTTACTGTATATTTAATTTTATATTTAGCTGTTTTTTGAAGATCCATATGGGAAAACAAACAACATTATAGAAAGTAATAAAAACACACCCATGCAATGCACAACTAAACACGTAACATGCACAAAGACATGTACATAAAAGCCCACACATTAGACACACTCACACTTGGAGAGTAAACAGAAATTAAGATGCATCATTAGTTTAAGAATAAATAGGTCATGTAGTTTTTTTTTGTTTACAGTCTAGAAATATTTGGTAACCCTTGATTCAGAACAGGTGTATCTTTCATTTTCAGAAGCAATTAAAACGATTAAAGTGTTTTATTACTAAACTACAACATAATGTGAAACATTGATTGAGAATTTGGCTGAATTAATACAAATAAATACACTGTAACAATATTGTTACAATGTATTTATGGATAAAGACTGCAACCACTGTTAGAATGTGTCTGATCCCAGTGTTCCCTAGAATCTCCTGCTATATCATTGTGGCCAATAAAACCCATTTTCTCATTTCAAATTGTTTATAGTTGAAGAGATGATCTCCCACCATAACTTCTCTGATTAAAACATTATGGGGTCTATTCACGAAGCAGCAGAAGGATCTAGCCGTAGCTTCGGCCGATCCTTCGGCTAGCTTCGGCCCCAGGACCCCTTCGGCTTAGTAGAACCGAAGGGCTTTTGTACGGACTATTCACTATATCCCGTACAGCTCCCGAACTTAGCCGAGCGGCTCAGTCGAGCCGAAGGCATATGCCTCGGCACCATTCACGGTCACCTAAGATATATTGTATAATACAATGACAGCAGTGGCAGCTGTCACTTTATTTTACAGTGCCTCCTGCCACAGCAGATTGCATGAGTCTCATAGAGGAATTCATGGGAATAGGGCCTTAATGTTTATTTTATTTAAAACATTGTATTGATAAATAATTGCTGTATTATCAAGGGCCATACAAAAACAAAGATGCTACCTGTATGTTTTTTGTAGTTGTGAATATTACATAAACTTTTAAAACTGTAATGAGCATTTTATCAAAGGAAGAAACTGTCTGGGACACATGGAGGCCCATAATATCAACTATATAGTTTATGAAATATATATTTTTCCCATACATTCTAAAAATGTAATGCATTTGTGAAGATGAAAGCTTCACATGAATTGCCTGCTATTTTATTTTTAGATCTGTAATATAAATAAGCCATATATATATAGTATATTTTTGAATTTTTTCTTAAAAAATTGTTTCTAAAATTATAATGGTTAAATAATGGTTCCTTTAGCTATAGGAAATAACCCCAAGTAGAGTAAGTAACAAGTACTATAATTATTTAGTATCCCATGAAGTTGTGTCTTTTAGCTAGTCCAATTGTAAACAACTGGTGGGAAGTGTTTCCTTTTTAAAGGTAATCTAGATCACTATCTTTATTTCATTTTTTTCTGATATGGGATCTCTGTTCTGCAATGTACACATGAAACATGTTGACTTAGGCAGTAGCACACTACCGCCATTGATGGCTGATGTGAGGGTGCCATCTGCAAAGGCCAGATCAAACATCATTTGCATAGGTCTGAAATGCAGCCACTTGATCCTGTTGCCCTACATCTTCCAAAGATATCATTCTCCTGACTGAATTTACTTATGGCCATCATTAGCTAGAGGTGTTTATGTTTTTTAAATGTTGTACACTATGATGTTTGTACACTATAGCCAACCATGGTCTGCACAGGCAAACCGCAGTTTGTGTGGTCATGCCAAAAGAGAAGTGCTGGCAGGTCAGTTGCAGTAACATCTCCAAATAGATACTCAAATCCTGGCTTTCTGGGACTTTTGATTTTACTTGACAAAACCGTATTTCAGGCTATATCTAACATTTTATAAAAGGACTACCATATACATGATGGTGAAGTATATCCAAAGCCCAAACGTTTTAACTGTTGAATAAAGAGGGGGAGGGCTAAAATTCTGTATTGCAGGTATGGATATATTTCAACTGTAAGGGAAATCCCCTCTAGACACTTGTAATGAGGATGACATTTTTCCGCATTGGAAGCTTTTCCTCCGGTCCGGTAGCAACTCAAAAGTTTGGATTTACCCTTACTTTCAGTCCCAGTGACACTGGATACTCTATTATCTACAGTATTACCATATGCCTTTAGTAGTACTTTTAGGGGGCATATACTACGATACAGATACGTGTATTTCAGACAAAGTATATGTATCCTTTTTACCTAGCCACCTGACTTTCCCCTGGCCTCAATTAATACCTACCTGAATTAAATAGCTGTTGCCTACAGAACTCTTAAAAGCCTATGTCCCAAACTGTAAGCACATGGTGGTAGTGGGGCAGCACTTTTTTAATTTTTATTTTATTTTGTATTTTTGTAATTATTTTACTTTTTAATCTTTTTTTCCTTTTTATCATTTTTTTATTTTATTATTTTGTATATATTTAGCACTTTTTTTACTTATCTTTATTGATATCAAACAGGGGCTAACAAGCATCCAATACAGAAGATACAGCTATGTTTGTGACAGCTGACACAGGAAGCACTGTGAATACACTGTGAATACAGTTCTCCTGTGTCACTGACCACGGCGGAAGGGGGGGCTGGGGGAACGAACCATGGAGGGGAGGAGCAGGCCTTGAAGGGGAGGAACCGGCATGGGGGACGGACGGGCAGGCTGCTATACAAGTGATCCGGGTGCATCACTTACAAGCAGCCGGAATCTATAAAAAAAATTTAAGCGCCGGTGCTATGTATCGGGACATTTTCATGACTACTAGTATTAGTATCGGTATTGGGACATCCCTAAAACCTCTTGCTTGCAAAAGGCAATTTTTAAATGTCTTGCAATTTTTAAATGTCTTAATAATTAACTTTTGTCAATTATTAGATTTCTTTACACTTTGTATTTATTTCAAAGATCATATTGTCCTGAGATCATCATTACAAAAGTTTGACTCATAATTATAATTTTTTTAGTTTCCAATCCAAGGTCTAGCATGTCAGAGTTTGACAGGTGGGTCTCCGGCTTCTCACAAAGCAGTAAGTAATTCCTATTTTATATGATGGGTTACATATATACACAGTGTTGAGTCAGAATATAGACATCTACATTGAAGTTTGTACATTATCAACTGTTTGTTTTTAGCATCTGATATCTGTGAAAGGTCTGTTTCTTGCTGCTGGACAAAGGGCATAATGATAAATGCATGCAGGTTTAAAATAATTCATTGTTCTTTATATTTTTATTGTGGCCTACATCTAATAATTTGGACGTATGGGTGGAAACTTGTATAAGGCTAAGTGAGTGTCCTATAAATGTGGATGCCCTTAAAAAATAGCAAACATAGCATGCTGTCAACTATCATTTATACCTTATTTTGGTGAATATAATCAGTGTGCACTTCATTTCAGATTCCAGAAACACTGACACTGACTCAAGCTGGAAAGTTGTTGAAGAGTTACCAGAAACCAGAGGTAAGCACTTTATACATTTAAGAGCCCCACCCATATAGTACATAGCCAAAATACTTTCTTTTTTTCTTTAGTTACCATGCTCTCAACATGATTTGTTGCATATAGAAACAGTATCAGCCTTATCAAAATTGAACTAACATATCGCATGGGTGCTAGCGGTGTGCCATTCACCATAACTGAGAGTTCTCTTATATCTGTTCACCAACAGGCAGCTTTAAACTAGCTATACACGTAAAGATCATGCTACAATTATATGGATTCAAACATCATGGGCCAAATCCATATCAGAGCTGTGAAATCTCCAGATCACATATATATGAGCAGATGGGGTCACTTCCCCAAACACCTGGGTTGGGACTGGGAGTGAATGATTTCTCCATAAAGTCTCCTTAGCCGACAACTTGATTTACAACTACCTTACTAATTATTTAGTTGCAATAATTGGCCTGTGTGCTCTTTTGTTCCAACCTTGTATAGGATTATAACAATAAAGTTGCTGTACAATACAATCATGTGCTGTGCTGTATTGGTTACTACATTTCTTTTTAGTCCCAGTTGCTGTTCCAGTTCCAGTGCCAGTTCCAGTTAAACCTGAAGTTAAAGTTGATGTAGAACCAGATCCATGGCGAGGGTTCTCACAAAGCGGTATGTTTCTTTGTAGACTACCAATTGTTACAGCAAGAGTTGATGCTATTTCATTATGATTAACTACTGGACATTTGTGTTATTCCATAACATTTACATTGAAAAGTCAAATTTGAAAAAGATGCATATAACAAGCAACCAAAATGCTAGTTCCTGGAAAATTTGCCATTATGTAATAAGCACCATGAAAAATAGAAATGCTCTGTCAGTAAATGTATAGCTGTTTTAGCGACCATACTAGGTAACAGAGCATTAAGAAGAATGTAACCTATTATATCCTTTAACAAATTCCAGCTTTTGAAGCAGGGACGTGCGGTCAGGGGAGGCAGGGGTGGCAGAGCCTCACCTAGTATTATGAAGAGTGCAAAAAGGGTTTTTTTGTGAACAGATGCTGAGTAGCTGGTGCCACACCCCTAAATTGGTCAAAAAAATAAATAAATAAAGATCAGTGGGGTTTTAATGGCACCATATGACCAAGTCCAACAAACCACAATAATTGCTTAGATTAAAAAGTATCCTTTTATTGAATTCAAATATAGTAAAAAGGCCATGATGAAAATGTATAAGTGCATCATGATTGAAGGATACCTCCAAGAGACACTCAATTCCATGATTAAGGCATGTAGCATAACCAGAAACTGGTAAAGATGATTGGTAAGAGCCGATGGATCTGATCAAGAGTTTAACAATCTCATCAATAACAATTGTCATATACAATAAATAAAGGTATAAACCAGTCCAAATTCACAAGTGAGTAGACTTATCTGGAAACAGAAGAGTTTGTCTACGCATTTCGCGCATCGAGCACTTCATCAGGAAATGGAGGAGATCCAATGCTGAGCCGATAGGTGCACCCTCGATGCAGCAACCAAAACGGAGCAATCAAACACCCCAGGCGAAGAGGGATGGAGGCCAAAGCCACAACAGACCGAATGGCGGATGGATTAGTGGCAGAAGCCCTAGGTCAAACGCCCACCTATCTTAGCCCAAATACCTCACAGAAGCCGCTGGTGCATGCATGGCCGTCACAATAAAATAACCCAAAAAAACATTACTTTCTAAAAGTAGAAAATTTTAAACTAAATGAAAATAAAATTTAACAAAACTCATCATATTTCCATTTAACTGAAAAAATGAGTGGGGATGGGATCCAATCAAATTTGACCAAATAACTTTTTATTTTTGTTGAACAATTATTTTTAAGCCAAATATAGTTTGAGTCTATTAAATATGTGATTGGTTATTTGTTGTTATTTTTTGTGGTAAGCATTAGGGAAGAAATAGTGATGACTGAAAAAGCAGAAGGTCTGTATAATAACTAGTCAAGATTTAATACCAATCAAGATGAATACATTTTAATTTTATCTACTTACCTAAAAAATAATAACTGTAGTTGTTTTACAGGGAAGCACAGATTTATTTTTTTTTACCCTCGTTATTTTAATAATAGTTACAGACTGCTTAATGGTTTGCTATGAAATTCAGGAACTGATAGATTAAAAAAGCTTTTTTGTGGGTAGGAAGTGCAGTGTTGGTGATAAGAAACATTAAGGTCTTTAAGACAAAAGAAGCTGCCATTTGATTGTATCTCATCTCAGGAACCGTTATAGAAACTACATTGTGCAAAGGGAAGAGTGATTGCATATCCCATTACTCATTCAGAAAAGTTTGCTAAGCCTAGATAACTTGTATTGATACAGCCCCCTCTGGAAAAATATATTTAAGCATGTTATGTCAATTTAGACATCTTTTTCTTACTTTATAATAGCTGTCAGCATTTGATTAATGTGTTCATTCTTTCATCCCACTTTTTTTAATCCTTCTCAGGCATTTCCTTTGTCTTGTAACTAACATTTGTTGGAAGTTGTTCTAAAATACTTTATACTAGTAACAGACAAAACACTATTTTGTTTGACAATTTGCTTCCCAAATAACAGTTCACTGGGAGGAAACTTTGTCCAGCAAGAAGAGCTGTTCATTTTCAACCTCTTCATAAGTCTTTTCCTTGGCATAAGTGAAATTAATATCCTTTGATACCGAAGGAATGTGCCATTTATTGATCTTATTTAACATCTGACTGGAAATTCTAAGCTATTTGTTACCACATCATGCTCCATTCAGCATAGTGTTATTGTGTTTTGTGGAATAACTAAGTTAAGAAATTAGACTGATTTCTATTCATTCAATACTTTCAGGAGGCCCTGCCAAAGAAGAAGTGAACTCAAGACTGCCAGTGGAAACAGTAGCCCTGGGAGGCATAAGTATGAGCAAAACTATTCTTTTCACTTTTAGTTGCATAGTGTAATTAAAATATTGCATATTATTCATTGAAAACTCTAGAACAGCGGTCGCCAACCTTTAGGACCTCATGGACCACGAAATTCATAATTTTAAATACCGCGGACCACTAATATGATTTTTTTTTAAATATATATATTCTCATATTTTTTGTTTCCTCATATATAAAAATCTATTTATACATACAGTATATATACACATATATACATAGGTGAGGGTGTGCCTGCGGGAGTGGCAGTGCTGGTGGAGGGAGCAGTGCCGCCCGCCCTGGCCCAGTAATAATTTTAATTGTTCCCCCCTATCGAATCTGACACTGGCCCTGCCGGCGGCGCCCGGGGCACATGCCCACCCTAGTTTCAGCACAACCACCCCCATGCCTCCCCTTCCCCACACTGAGCCACTATTGCCTGGCTTCTCCCCACTTTTTCTATGTCCCGCAGCCTGCTCAGTCCGGGTACTGACGGGATGCACCGCCTCCTGCAGAGCCCACACTGTACTGAGAGCAGCGCATTCCTTGTGACAGCAGCTGCTTGAGTCAGTGAGAGGCAGCCCCGGAGTCTCTGTGCCGCTTCAATGACAGCCTACCCTGCACTGCATCAGAGGGGCCGGGGACCACAAACATTTTCTCATGGACCACTGGTTGGCGACCGCTGCTCTAGAACAATACAGTCGGCCATCAAATTTATTTTCAAATACTGTTAGTAGAAGTCAAAACTAAAAATAGGTTCACGGAGACAAGTTATTTATAGCATAGTGGGTGTGGATTTGAAATGTGTGGTTTATAGCTGAACCCCATGCAGTAAAAAACACTAATGTTTATTAAAAGATAAAAGATATCAACTGTATTTTTTAATGTAACGAGTAAAGGTACCTGAAATTGACTTAATTTCAGGTTCTTTTATTTTCCTGTACATCAAACTAGAAGGGTCAGTCAAGCATCCTGCATGCATATCTGCTGACAAGTAACATGCTGACAGGAGGCAGCAAAAGAGATGACCTCTCCAATCTGTTACTGCTCCCTCACTGTCCAATCACAGGCTGGGGTTAGGAAGGTTACCTAGCTGTGGTGGGCTGGAAAAATATACAATAAAAATACAAATCTTTTGGTGGGTAAAACATATTTATTGAACATTGCAAGTAACATAGATCGTGTCAAATATTGTAATAAAAAGAATGCAAAAAAGTATATGTGAATATATGTGAATAAAACAGATGAATGGATGAGTGGTGGCCTCCCATAGTCCTCCACTGGATGCTTGAGACTCTTTGGATTTAAAATAGTATAACATTGTAATTTCTTTCCTTTTAAGGTTTTTTTTTGTGGTTATCCTGATCACCTACCATTGTGTTTGACTGAAACACTTGGCTGTAGTTTAATTTGCTGGGATTGACAGGGTTTATATAAATGGTTCCCAGATTTGGCTGCAAAAGTGGAAATATACTTTATGTATGTTTTCTATATTTTGTTGTGGATAAAATTGTGACCATTTATTCGTCCCAGTGGGTTTACCACAGTGATTTAGTGACTGTCTATAATGAGCATATACACTTGGAATAACATGTTTGCCTGGATCAGGTTGAAGTAACAGCTTATCTAATGGGTTTGACCAGTCCATTTGGGATAGTGTGCAGTGATGTGTGAGATATACGATCTTGCTTGGAGGACGGTGAATGGATCATTTGATAAAAAGGTAAAACTTTCTATGGCAAGATTAGATGATTGAGCATGTTTGAAAGAGATACAAGGAAGGGATTTTATTAATCAAATTCCTCTACCATACCAATCTGCATAGATTTTTTTTATTTGTAGATTTTTGAAGGTCAAGGTTTTTTCAAATGGGTAGAAAAAGAGAAGAGTGATAGTTCAATAAATATTGACTGCATGATGTATGCCATGCTAACCAAGTAGTAAATAGGAGTAGACTTGGGGCTCTCTCTTGTGGAAGCATATGTGTACTCACATATGCATATATGCATATGTGTAACATATAATAAATGTAGTGTTGGTAGCATGTTTTGGGTGAATTTAGAGTTAATGTATGTTGAGAAGCCATTGATGCAATCTTGTACATACTTTTTAAGGAGGTTAAATTCTGTAGTTCCAGTTCAGGTAATTTGGTCTTCCATTATAGGACAGGTTCTTATAAATGGAGATTCTTAAATAGGTGATGGTCTCTTTATTATTATTATTATTATTATTATTATTATTATAAAGGATTTATATAGCGCCAACAGTTTGCGCAGCACTTTACAATATAAGGAAGATATTACAATTACAATACAATTCAAGACAAGATTGTAAGGAGGGCGCTGACCGAGAGGACTTACAATCTAAAAGGGAGGGGCAAGTGGTACACGAGGAGGTAGCTGTGTGGGGATGGACTTTTTGAGAACGTGATGGTTCAGTGGTTAGTTCGAGGTGGGATAGGCTTCCCTGAAGAGATAAGTCTTTAGGGATCGCCTAAAGGCAATCAGAGTGGGAGATAGATGGACAGGTTGGGGTAAAGAGTTCCAGAGGATGGGAAGGACTCTAGAGAAGTGCTGGAGGTGAGCATGGGAAGAGTTGAAGAGGGAGCTGGAAAGCAGGAGGTCTTGGGAGGAGCGGAGGGGACGTTTAGGGTGATACTTTGAGACAAGGTTTGAGATATATCTGGGGGCAGAGTTGTGGATGGCTTTGTAAGTGGTTGTTAATATTTTGAATTTTATCCTTTGGGCGAGTGGAAGCCAGTGCAGGGATTGACAGAGGAGGGTTGCAGACACTGAGCGGTTGGCTATGTGCGTGAGTCTAGCAACTGAATTCATGATAGACTGAAGGGGGGATAGTCTGTGTAGAGGTAGGTCAATATACTTTGAAAACGGTATTTTGTACATCACTCTGGTCTTAAGTATTCAGTTTAATTAAGAGCATTTAATTTATCTAAGTTTATGGCATAGCCAGTGATATAACCATATTTATCTATCAGAGAAAACATATTGTGTGAAAACAGTTGGAAACATATGAAAGATCATCTGCAAAAGTCTTGCATTTGAACTTGTACATTTGTTAAAGAATATAAAAAACATAATAAAGAATCCAAGGCAAATAAAAAAAACTGGGAAGGGATTAACCTTGCGTGATCCCACAGTTTATCACTATGGAGGCCAAGAGTTGGAAATGTTTTTTCAAACTAGTATGGCACTTGTATAGATTTATACCGTATCCGTGTAGCTTTCCCTGTCTGCCAGAAAAGTATAGGTTTGTGTCCCAGTGGGTTAAGCTATTATCTAAGTATTTCTTTCCAGTGGTGCTAGACAAGTAATGGTGATGTGTATTAGGGGCATTGATATTACATAGTAAAAATGGTTCTCTACTTATGTCAGTTTTTGCTGGAGAAAGTTTTAGTCTTCTTACTGAATGTGGAACAATGTTCCCTGGAGATGCCAGATAGGGTGGCCTGTAGCAGGGGGACGTTTTCTGAGGTTGGCGTTAGGACATTTAACGAAAACTGCAAACTCTTTGGGAGGTTAAAGTGGCATTAAAGGATATTCCCCCCCATGCTGGTGTAAGGACTTACCTTAAATGATGCCTGTTGATCCGATCATCTTCTTCCTTCCTGATGTTTTCAGCAGTCCCTCCAGCGCTGGTGCAGGTCTCTGATCCAGCGCTGACTGCTGTGTTTTCTGTGTCCCACGGAGTGTGTGTGGATGCATGCTACCGGACTGCCTTCATTGACTTAACCTGTGTTTCTCCCGGCCAAAGATCTGTGCTGCGCATGCGCCCGTCCCATGCTCCTTTGTGGCCGCCCGAGATTTTTCAGATCTTCGGAAGGGAGCGCGCGGCCGAGACACAAGTAAGTTTGAGCCTTTTTCGTAACTTTTTAAAAAAAAAATGTTTTTGCATATATCTACTGCTTGCTAGCAGTAGATATATGCAAAAACCCTTGAGGGTTTAAATATCCTTTAAATAGTGCCTTTTACATATTCCATATGTGTTTGCTTGGAGTTCAGCTATAACAAACAAAATGCTCAATTCAGCAAGATGAATGAGTTATTTTTAACTCCACTCCCTATTTTATGTTATGATAAATTTCTCCTAAGATGTTTAATTTACTAATTGTAAATTACTTTACTCATAATTTGTTATTTCATCTCATGAAGTATTATTTTATGACCACCTTTTCTCTGCTTTCCTCAGTTGACACATATTAAACCATACAGTTACCAACAGCTTGAAGCTAGTGTTATATCATGGAGTAATAACTTGTGTGGTGTGTCTTTGTGAATTGACTTTTATATTGATTTTATCATAACAGCTGATTAAATAACACTGACAGTTTTATTACAGCACCAGTAGTGATAAAAAGCAACTTACAGAGAAGGCTGAAAATAGCATAGAAAGGACCTTTGTGATATGAAATCTAAGACAAATGAGCCAGATAATGTGATATCAATGGGAATCACAACTACAAAAGAAAAACAGCTTTTATAATTGAGACCCTGAAATACAACGGGTCTAAAATAGCACAATGTTTATTATGTCAACCATCAATAATAATAATTTGTATTTTATTTATTGTCATAGAGCCAATCATAAATTCTACAGGTTGCTGATACAGGGTGCTTTATATTAATGTTCTAAGTCTTAACATTGTAGACTGCAAAATAGATCTGGTGTTCCTCATTGATGGAAGCTGGAGCATTGGTAAGAGACGTTTCCGGATTCAGAAACTTTTCCTTAGCCAGATGGCAGATGCTCTGGATGTTGGAATTTCTGGACCTCTCATGGGCATTGTACAATATGGGTAAGAATATTTTTCTTTATCCAACATTAGCAATGTATGTGTTTACAATTGGTGCTAGCCAAATGTAATATTTTTCATCATGTAAAAGACGTCCAAAGGTATGGCCATCCAGTCTGGATTCATTCTGGATTGCTGTTGTTTCTCCATTTTAATAACTTATACAATGACCTGCACCCAATCCAAAAATGACCACATGCATGAATGGGCAAAGTACAAAACTAAATGTGGTGCTTTCTTACTAAAGAATTCCTATAACAGGTTAGGAAAGGAAGATCAGCGTAATATGTCTTCATTTTAGCTTAACTAGCCACTTAGCATCATTTTATTTTACTCATGTAGTGGTCAGTGGCATAGAAGCATCAATAATGGGGGTTTTCTTATGTGCCTCTCTATAAAAGTCAGAGTTTCCAGCAGACTTTTGTTAGAGTGGATGGAGACTTGGGGGGTGATTTACTAACCTAAACACACGCACGCACCAGGTGCGTGTGATTTTCACACAGCAAAACGTATTTATCAACCAAAAAGTCTCTAAAAGCATATTTCCACTAATGCCATATATGGAAAAATCATGCACATGATGCATATATAATGCTGCTTCACAGTTTAGACAAAAATGGTTAGCTCATGCATTTACATTCCTGCATTCATCAACGCAAGCAACACAACATAGAGCTAATTTACACAACATCACCTTGCAATTCATGCAGGGCTTTGCACAACACACCTGCTGGGTGTGTACACACTACAAAGGTGTTTAGATTCCACCCATAGAGCATGCTGGGAGGGAACACACTACAGAGGTGTATACTTGTTTGTGGCGTGTTTATAAGGTTAGTAAATCAACCCCTTGGAGTAGCTAGGCATTTGTAGCAGCAGTTCGCCAATAAGTATTTGTGCAAGCAATGCAAACTCTAGGGATCTTGGGTCCTTTTGATTGAATCAGTGGCTCCTGATTCAAGATGTGTGTACCATCTTGTCACTAGAAAGGTGACAAGAATGGCGAACCACCACAAGGAATGGATTATAAACACAGTCCCTCTGACGTTCTTGCTGTTGCACACACTGGTTAGTGTAACCGGGCTGTGGACCTACACCAAAAGGTGGAAGAGGTAGAACTCCTGCTGTCTCAGGGCCAGCAGGATCCCTTTACAACTGACTCTATCCCCATAAGGCAGAGACAGCAGCAGGCAGAGGAGGAGTAGGAGCAGGAGGAGGGTAGGGGTGCCAGAGGAAAAGGAAGACATTTGGCAGGCTTTCAAGGGTATGTTTTGCCCCTCCCAAATCCCACAAGTTGTACGTGGGTTGGGTGAGATTGTTGTGGACACTGCTCTCTTCAGTGACAACAGAGACCTGAGGTCTTCGGCTGCAGGCAATTTGTGTTGAATGGATAGGAGAAGGACCAGTACTAATTGGCCACCCTTTTGGATCCCTGATATAGGGGGAAAATAGCAGATCTCATGCTGCCTTCCCTGCAGGAGGAAAATATGTGCCACTTGGAGAAGGTGCTGTGGAAGAACCTCTTAGTCGATCCTTGGTAGCAGAATCCCCTTTCCTGATCAATGCGCCTCCTATCTCCGGTCGTTAAACGAGAAACCGCAGTGGTGGTGACTGCCTCAGCGATGCTTTTAAGCTGTTTTTTAAACCACAGCAGAGAGACCTAGTTGCTGGCAACAGTCACAGGCAGCACCTAAACCATATAATCTCAGATTACCTGAGGTTTAGAGTAGATGCAGACAACCTTTGAACTAAGGACTTCATGGACTTTTGGGTGTCCAAGCTGGACTATTGGCGAAAGCTTGCTCAGTACGTGATGGAGCTGTTGGCTTACAGTGTAACCGGTGTACTTTTAGAGCGGAAATTCAATGCAGCAGGTGATTAGATAACAGAGAGATTAATCCTCCTGTCCTCAGACACAGTCGAACAGCTAACCTTTACAAAAATGAACCAATCCTAGATCATCATGAGTACAAAACCCCTACAGCTGATGTTAACAATAATATTTTTGCAGGTAATCTTGCCTCAAAAAATTATTCTACCTTGTACCATTACCATCTCCTGCAACTTCTGCTGGTCTACCACCATACCATCTCCTGCCACCACAGTTTCTGGCCTGGTAATCAGGCACTGTCAAGGCTGGACCTCAGCTGCAAATTTTTTAGAGTTTGCTGCAGGGTATATCATGCTCTTTGTCTCCTAGTTTGGGGCATATTCCACTACTTCGGCAGTCAAAAATATGTTGTGTCTTTTGTCTCTCTGAAATAGTGCAATCTAATTGTATAAAAAAATTGCCTCATTTCTGGAATGTGGGATTGTGGTTTAGAAGTATTTTTGTGCACTCGTTTAACATTGTATTAAACTTTTTGGACAAACTTTTTTCGAGCAGGTATTGCAAGAAAAGATGATTACAAGCTATACTGTGGTTTTTTCACCATTGTTTACCTAAAAAAACAAGTTGAAATGAATCAGATAAGAGGGCTGCTGCTGTATTTAATTTAAGCTAAATGTAAAATAAAAAAAATCATATACACATGCAAAATATGTAATGGCAGAATATGGTGCTGCTGATTAGATATTTTCATGCATTGATACATGTCACCCATAACAGTGCCCAGCTACACTTGCCCTTTGACTTCAATGCAGCTGGAAACAAAGTTTGCAATTTACAGAACTTACAATAAATTTGACAAACGCCTCACAAATCGATCCCAGGCCGATTTGCTTTTCCCTGCTGCTAACGAAAGTGTTGCTTGATTTTCTTCCTTCAGGGATGACCCATCTACAGAATTCAGCCTTCGATCATACTTCAACTCTAAAGACCTGAAAAATGCCATTGAAAAAATTCCACAAAAAGGAGGATATTCTAATGTTGGTGGGTTTATTTACACATAATTTTAATCAAAGTAGATATGCCTTATTGTAGCAGTTAACCCCTGACTATAAATTATTTATATTATTCGACCACAAACTGTTCCTACATGCCAAACAATAGAATTATCTGTAATTAGGTTTAATAATGAGATACAGGATTAAACCTTAAAAAACATCCACAAAATAGTCTAAACAGATGCACTATGATAGCTTGTCAGTATTGTAACGAAATAGGAATGTACTTGTAAGGAGATTTTTATTATTTGTTTTATCTACAATTTCCTGCATGAATGGCATTTCTACTAAGGGTGACACAAGACTAACTTAGATGTATAATTGTACTGGTAACTATTGGGTCAGATAAGGGCTGTTTGTATAGCTTTGAATATTGTAACGATAAGTTACAACAGTTTTTAGTAAGAAACACAGGCTGCAATAGATTAAGGGCCAATGGCCTTTGAGCAAACTGTATGTTAATGAGAAAATGCAACTTGCACTTGAGATCAGTTTGAGACATTTCTTTTATTATTTAGAGTTCATTGACAGGGGGCATCTGGCTTATAGCTGGCCTCCTTTTAACCTGCATTTGGACTCCTTCTAACCTCCATTTGGCCTCCTACGCTGCATCAACCTGCCTCATAAGGCTATTGCATTCCCAATAACTTGTATGGGGAGAGAAGCAGTTCTGACGCAAACAAAAGCCTTTCAACCTAGTCTCTAATAGTGCAAGAATATCTTTAAAAGAAATAAAAAATTGTATAAAAAATGAAAGAAATATAAATTAACATTCTCTAGAAGGTTGGCAGAGCTAGTCATAGCAAAATGCACTTGCTTTGAATACATTAAAGTAGCTGCATTCATTAGTTGAGGGGCTTTATCATCAAAAGCATTCAGTAAGGATAGGCAACTTTCTGGAGGGTTGGCAGAAGAATACCATGGTGTTTGTTGTGATGTTTTATGAGAATGGGATATTACAACATGACACATGGCAGTTATCCAAGGTGGCATTCCAAAACAATGCTGCTGTTCCCTCTCTTACATGGACATTTATTTTGGTGTCATCATTCTCCCTTTGACATGTTTTCAGCCAATCGGGCTCTCCTGAGCAATGTGATAGAGGTCCATATCTCTCTGCACATAATACTAGTGCACCTCAAATAACTCCTACAATCTTAAATAGTGACTACTTAGAGGCCAGGTCCATACAACAAGGCTTTGTAGTAAACTAACATGACTAGTATCAATATCCTAAACTGCCATGCTCACTATTGCTTTAGAAATTTTGTTTGAATAAAAACCTTTGCCTTTTTTCCTTAACTGACAATTATTAAAAAATATATACAGCATCCAACTTATGCAAAAAATCTACAATACATCAAAAATCCCCAAATGTATCAGAAATCACATGACATCACCCTAAAACATGATATAATTCGATCATTGTGACTATAATTTCAGGAAATGCTCTATCCTATGTGAACAAGAATTACTTTTCTGATGCCAGTGGGAATAGAGGAGGAGCTCCAAATGTGGCTGTAGTTCTAGTTGATGGATGGCCAACAGATAAAGTGGAAGAAGCTTCTCGTCTTGCTCGGGAATCAGGAATAAATATTTTCTTTGTGACAATAGAAGGTGCAGATGACAATGAGAAGTCTAGTGTTGTGGAACCAAACTTTGTAGAAAAGGTAAATTATACATTAACATTTTATATGTATCTTTCTAGACAGGAAAATAACCCTACAGCATAGTAATAAAAAAATATAATTCTCTCCATCACTAATTTATATTAAATAAAAAATAGGTCATGGAGCAAGTTTTATTTATTTTTGTTTTACATTTTAAATGTTTAAAACTGCCATTTTATATATTTGCACTATTATATATTATAATACAATATATAAAAAAAAAACATTTTTGCGCACAGTAGTAGCACAGTGGTAGTCTTCTTTTAGTTATGCGGTCTTTGTCTGAAATCTGTCTGAAATCTTAGATGGAGGTGTACGGAGGGATGGGGAGAAAGGCATAGGAATACTGTATTGACCCATTCACTTCTGCGTGTAAATTTTTGCTTGAGCTACTGAGGCCTGTATTTTTACAATAGGAGGTAAAGAATCAGGGGAAAACAGGTAAAAGGGGCCAACATCTATAGCTAGCAGTATTCATATTCAACTGGACTTGTTCTGCAATGTTTAAGATGTTTCACAGCCTAACAAAGCATTTTTATCTGACATTTTATCATCTCTTCCCTGGCGATCTGTCAACAATTCACACCAGCAATGTAAATTGAAAGATTAACACCTACTGCAGTACTTCTGGCACCATGGAATTAGATTATATTGTTAGAATGTTTTCACAAACCCCAAGGCTGGCCATACACTTATCAATTTTTTTCCTTCAACCTGCGGGCTAAATGAAAAAAATTGACCTGATTCCTCCATCAACACAAACAGCTTGTTGATCGAGGAATCCCGCTGTTTGCATTGTATTCTGACAAGTGCCGCTGGCATCTGTCAGAATACCCGATCAGAGTGGGCGGCTCATTGGCTGTCGGCTCTGATCGATCGAAAATTTTCAGGCGGCTCCTTCGATCAGCTGATTGAGGAACTCAGGCTGAAAGGGAGCCTACAGCCCCACACACTGTGCGAATTTCAGCTAATTGAGGAATGCAGGCTGAAAGGGAGCCGACAGCCGCACACACTGTGCGAATTTTCGCCCGGTACATTAAAAAATGGCCAAATTTCGACCAGTGTATGGGCACCTTAACACCTTTCATCCTGTTCTCGGACAATCAACATCCACCTTGCCATATTTCATGGTGATTGGATTAAGATGACCAAGTTACATGTGTGGATATAAATGCTGTGGTATTTCCTGACACTCATTGGGGCTCAGAAAGCTATTCGGGTGAGTAGTGAAGCATCTTCAACATTAGAGAACAAGTCCAGTTAAATGTGACTAACTACTACTAGCTATACCATGACCTGGATGAATGAGAACCTTCACTGGTGATTCTAGCAATTATTTTTACAACAAGTTAGAAAATGAAATGAAGAATATAACTGGTTGCAATATAAGCTAACATTTGTATGGCTTTGTAAACTATTACAGCCAATCAATTTGCACTTCTATTTTGTGCTAGTACAAAAATCACCAGTATTAGCTCAATGAGTATAGCAGTATGCTTTCAAATGATAACGGTCTTCATTTCTTTTGCAGGCTGTTTGCAGAACCAATGGTCATTTTTCCATCAATGTTCCCAGTTGGTTTGGCCTCCATAAAATTGTGAACCCACTGGTGAAGCGCATGTGTGACATTGATAAGTTAGGCTGTAGCAAAACTTGTCTAAATGCTGCTGATATTGGGTTCATCATTGATGGGTCCAGTAGTGTCGGTACAGGAAACTTCCGCACAGTTCTGCAGTTCATCGCTAACATAACAAGCGAGTTTGAGATTTCGGATACAGACACAAGAATCGGAGCTGTACAGTATACATATGAACAGAGACTGGAGTTTGGTTTTGACAAGTATAGTACGAAGCAAGATGTTGTTAATGCCATAATGAGGATCGGCTACTGGAGTGGAGGCACAAGTACAGGAGCAGCCATCACATATGCTAGTGAACAGCTTTTTAGCAAATCAAAGCCAAACAAGAGGAAGATCATGATTGTAATCACTGATGGCCGCTCTTATGATGATGTTCGGGCCCCAGCTGCAGCTGCACATCGAAATGGTAAATTCCTTCATTTTTCATAAGAAATTCAATATTAGATATACTGTATCTTATTATGTTGAACCATTCAAACTGAGCATATTTTAAAGCCCATTTCCATCTTTGCAGAGGTATTTGAAAAATCTGCCAGCAATGTACACCAAGTGTAAATGAAGCAGGCATATGCAGATGCTGTATATGAAACAGTATACAGAACTTACTTTTTTTTGTCCTTCATCTCCTCATGGCTTCTTTTGAAATGGCCACCTCTGTGCTTTGCAACCAGTCTGTGTAAATTAACACTCTCTCTCTGAGCTCTCTCGCCCCATTCATTAGTATCCATAGTGGCAACCCCTCTGGACAGTGTATTGTGACCTGGAAAGGCAGAGCTGGTGTGCAGTGATCTTGTTACAATGACTCACCGGGAGGGGATCAGCTGCTTTACAAGACAATCTGACCCCAGTGTCAGACTGCGTTTCCTGTGGAGAAAATGTTCAATTTGTAGGACTTAGCCTACTAAAAATTCCATAAAAATCAAGAAAGCCAGCAATGTGAGTCATGAAAATGTGCACACATATACATCATCACTCCACCTCTACATTACCACAATAAATGCTAATCACTTACAACGGTGGAAATGAGCTTTAAAAAAAGCTGAATGCAGGTTACTTTTAGTTAAACCCACAAGTCAAAGCAAACAGCAGGTCCGTAAATATAGGAACTGAATTTAAAGAAGAACTCCTGGCAAAATTTCCATTAACCCTTGCAGCGGGGCTACATCCTCACTACAAGGGTTAACTACTCATTTTTGCCTAGATGCTAAAAGAAAAGTTATACTCACCCAATCCTAGGAGCCAGCTGGCTTTCAGGCTTTTCCTTCAAGCCTCTCTGCCCCTCCGCTTCAGCGGTCTATGGTCCCGTAAATCATTGCGTTCTATACACTGTGTATAGACGTGAGGATGCTGAGGAACATTCCAATGCTGCAGCGTAGAGAGAGGCTTCAGAGCCTGAAGAACCAGGGAGCCAGCTCATTGGTTTGTGTAAGTATAACTTTTTTTAGCACCTAGACAAAGACGAGCACCTAGCACTTATTTTTGTAGCAAATTAGAATTAAATAAAATGAAGAATATTTGCTTTGTTGTGGGTGGTATAAACTTTTAACGATTTGTTGATGCATGTGTGCTCAGTATCCATATCATATATCCATATAATGTGAGGAATATTCCAGCATTTTGTTTTAAAGAGTTTTCCTTCTCCACTCCCAAAACATACCAGTCTGGCGGACTAAGCAACCAGGTTGATACATTCATAGTAATGCATGTTGGATGCACATTACCCCATTCTTGTACTGCCTACTGACCCATAAAGTGCAGAAGATATTTGTTCTCTCAGTGCTGAGAGAGAGAGAGAGAGAGAGAGAGAGAGAGAGAGAGTTGCATTTATTTGAATGGGCTGCCTTAACACAACACACGATGATGAACAACATAACACATGTGCATTAACTAGACGTGCACAACAAAATAGATTTGTTTCCAAACGAAACAAATGAAAACAAAACATTTTTTAATTTGTTTCGTCAAAGGAAACAAATGTTTATGTTGATTGGGAGGCAACGAGCCTCAGAATCCAAAACCGCACACTAAAACCTCAGCCATATCGGGCATATCATACAGTGAGAACAAAATGACTTTGAAAGGCATACGTACAGTATGTATAGAATTCTGCTACTAATGCTTCACATTTTATTCACAGGGGTCATCGCATATGCTGTTGGCATCGCATGGGCAGCCCAAGATGAACTGGAATCCATTGCTACCGATCCAGATAAAGAACATTCATTCTTTGTGGATGAATTTGACAGTCTCTATAAGTTTGTGGGAAAAATTATCCAGAATATTTGTACAGAGTATAACTCTCAACCAAGAAATTAACGCATGCGTTGGTTAAAGTTATGTCATACTGCTTGCATAAAATGCTTGCTGGCATTGAACAGAAAAAAAACATCTACAATGAATTATGTATTAATTTAGAGAGGTCTGCCTTTGACTACAGATATTCTTGTGTCCTGATTCTTCATCCATGACACGCTTATATTTTCTTTCCACCTGTAAGTTGCGGCCTCAAGCCACACTTAAGGTGTGAAAATAACTGAAAATATGTTCATCAAGTTAGACATTCATAAGGCAAATCTTGGAATATTCAATATACTCTGGTTATGAAGTCAGCCGGTATTAACTGACCTAATGGCCTGCTTAGCATGCTAAAATAACACTTTATTAAAAACGGGTCACAGGAAGTATTGTTATAAAACATTGACATCTATGGTAGTTTTTTTACAGGCTCAGAAATAAACAGTGTCCAAATATAACTTTATTGTAAGTAAATGGCAAAATTGTATTATTTAATACTGCCCTCTAGTGTCAAGTTTCTAATATGCAGCATAAGCACCAATAGCAAAAAAACTATCCCAAAACGTCATATCTTTTAAAGGCAAAGATATATTAAATCAATATTTCTTCTTCCTCTTTTTGATGGTTTCTTCATTGTTAGTGGGTTCACACTGCGAATAATTTTGTAACTAAAGAAGAAAACATTGATCATTTGGTGCAGGAGCTATTTTCTGCTCTTCCATATGTGATGATTTTGTAGTTGACTACAAAGTGATCTAACTGCACAGTGCCATTAATTTTGGTCCTCATAGGGTCACATGACACAGTTCTAAAAAGTTGTATAGACTAAGCAGAACTGTATAAAAAGCACATTAAATCTGTGTTCTAGAGGGGGAAAGTCATGAAAATCAATATGACAAATCAGAGAGAGGTTTTGAGTCTCTTGCAATTATTTTGTATATTTTAATTAGAAAAAAGTATTTACTTAAGAAAAAACTATATATTTCAATATACAGTTTGTACAGTTTTAATAATCTATTTTCATTATATTATATAGCATTTATACACACAGCTAAAGGTGTTTCAGTGCCTTATGTACTGTCCCTTTACTGTTATAATTGTTTTGTATATAAGAAAACTTTTTTACTACTTCAGATCTGATGCAAAGGAAGTGCTGAGTTTTACAACACAATCAATGTTTGTGATGTATGCATTATGAAACAAATATTTTACTGTCACTTTCCGAAGGTAAATATTTTGTGGGAGAATATCATCCAAACTGTTTCTATCACATTATCAAGTAGTTTCAAATAAATAAAGAGCTACAATATCACTGTGTTATTGCTGGAATAAAACATCCTATTCTGTACAGTTGCTTTTGTAATTTTTCATTTATGTCTCTTTGTTTGAAAGATTTTTCACTGCTAACAAAATTTATTTTGAAGGAGATGCTTTTTTTTAAAAGGGTATTTTCATTTCTTAGTCTCCTTGTAATCACTATCTAGAACTGATTCAAATATGAGTTGTGGTATTCACACAAAATACCTGAACAATCTGACTGGATGCAGGCATGGTTCAGCTATTTTGAGAGCCAGTGGAGCCGACTAGCAAGATACTGAAGCTTGGCCCAGTGGGAGATTCCCCCATCCACACAGTTTAGCGCAGATGGAGGAATCTGTTGCACTTTTGCCATCTGACCATAGAAAATCTGCAGATAATCTATAGGTGTATGGGCAGCATAAAAAAAAGAAAAGCAATCTCAGCAGATTAACAGCAACGCCCAGGATTGATGAAAAAAATTAGGGTAAAATTATCTCTATGTATAAAGCACAAATATGATACAATCATGTTTACCATTTTATGAGAACATCAAACAACATGTCCAGTTAACTAGTGGTGGACTTCAAGGAAAAACAAATCTTCCAAAACTAAGGGTACACAGTGACCGAAATCCATGTATGTGGAAAGGCTGGAGCCTAGGGTTGAGATGGGACCGTTATACTAACATGGCAGAGACCCTGATTTAACAATAGATTAACAATGGTTTAAATAAAAACTTCAGCAGGATCAACATTGGCAGTCCCAGAAAAACATTTATCTGGTGTTCTTTTATAATTGTTTTATACAAAATATACCTCCTGAAACACAGGCTTTAAGGCTGAGCAATACAGTGGAATGTTTTCTTGTCTTTTTCAGTGGAGAAAAAGCATTTTTGAGGTTAAAGCCTTCTGACTCTCTAAAAGAACCTCCTAATTCAGGGAGGGTAAGGACAAAAACAACTTTGAAAAAGGAAAGGTTGGGAGCATTTCAGGACTGTTCTATCTGGCAGCAAACGGGAAAGGGAACAGACCAATGCACAATTTTTAATTATTTAACCAAGATGCTGTGTCAGCACACCTAGAAAGCTACATGATGTTTAGGACCAGACACTCTACACTCATATTCTGCATGGCTGCTCACAATAATGGCTTATTCAATTTCTTTGCCCTTTAATGGCATGTCAAATATGCTTGTGTTCCGAGGGGCATCACCCTCCCAAAAGGGAGTTTGAGGTCACTGTTGTGGCCTTGCAGGGAAAATAATATTTTTCTGTTGCTTATTATTGTTGTTTTTGTTATATCTTTTCTGTATATATTTTCCTTCACAGTTTATTGCGAAGGAAATCTAAAAATCATTAAGCTAAATCTCTAACAGGGTTATTAACAAAAGGGTGAAGAGTTTGGAGAAGGCAGGAGAAGTGAACAATCTAGGACAACATAGCTGATTTGGAAAAATTCTCCAATTCAGCTCACTTTCCAGTTCAGCTATATTGGCCTAGATTGTTCACTTCTCCTGCCTTCTCCAAACTCTTCACCCTTTTTGTGAATAACCCTGTCAATGTTCTGATTCCGAAAATAAAAGAATCCTTGCTTCTGTGAGGGCTACCAAATATTAAAACTCTCTACATGCCTGCCTGGGTGTGACAGCACGTGCCAAAGACATTTCATAAAGGTCAAAATGACTACAGCAGATGCTGTAAATGGTGCATGTTTCCATTAAAACACGTGGTGGCAGCTACTGTGTGTGTAAAAGGTAACTGCGGAGTTAACTAGTCCCAGTGAGGTATTTAGATTGTTGTCCCACAAGCTGGAAAATCTCAGTGCAGAGTGAGGCTGAAAGTGCATACATCACATTCGGGTGACAGCAGTAGGATGTGACACAGTCGCCATCACAGTGTTTATCACTATATCTGAGGTAAAATAAAGAATAATATTTGCACAATTAAACTGCAATATTAGTATTATAAATAATTTATGATAGACTTGCAATGGAATTATGGGCATGCTCTGCTTCTGAAAGTTATCTTTGTTCAGCTGAGGCAGATCACTAAGTGGTTAGGGGAAATCAAATAAATATATCATGTGACTATAATTGGCATCATTAGCTTTCCGTAGTACAATCCATTTAAACACTAATTTCCGATCAACGATCCTCAGCATCCGGATGATACTCATCTTGCAGGAAGCGTGTGCTGCCAAGATCACAGAATGTCAAAATATTATGCTTTCATAGATGTAAGATGTAGTAAATTGCTAACAACATAATTTGTTGTATTGCATCACATTCTGGTGTTGCAGACATCACATTCTGGTGTTGCAGACATCACATTCTGGTGACGGCAGTGGGATACCACCACCATCCAACTGCTGTCACCAGAGTGTGACGTATGCATCACCAGTTTTTAAAGTTGACCACAGTCACCTGCAAAAATACCCTGTGACCATTTCAAATGTAACAACATGCAGCTGAGTGCATGTGCTTAGACTTACATGAATGTCAGATCTGGTCATACTTGTGTTTGGTCAAGTATTTGACAATCAAGCCCTCACTCCAAAGTGTGCCCTTGTCTGTAGCTGGTCAGAGGCTTAGGGGCTCATCCTATGTGGTTTGCTGTGTGCATTGAATAAGTTGCGAACGTGTTTATACATATGTCCACACACAACCCTAGCCAAAGTTTATAAAACTAAAAGGTAGGATCCAACTTTTAAGTATACTGAGTCACTGACCAAAAACATGTATGCATATTAGTAGTTCAGTTACTCAGAAAGTATTGATGCCAGAAAAAGCCAGGCAACTAACATCGGCCAGCAATGGCAGCCTATATTTTCCCCTCGGTACAGGTTTCCTTTATATTTTTTTACTGTTTTTTTACTGTGTTGGCTCGTTAAAACTGTGTCTTGGATCCCAGATTGGACAGCGCATAGCTCTAAATAATTGCCCACTGACTTTAGAAACCTTGTCATTCACTTATTTTCATGGTCTAAACCAGTATTTTTTAGCATCACAAAGAACCACCCTCTTGTATCAAAGTTTCCGGTTATATTTCAGTGATTTACTCGGAAGGCTCATTTATACCAGATGTCTAAAAAAAGGATATTGATACATCACATGTTTATGCATGCATTCTGGGGTGAATGAGCCTTTGGCCTCGTTCACACCAGACACAGTGCGTTCCGGCCCGATTCATCTCATTGCGGCTGGCTCACTATGTTGTGGGGCAGGAGGGGCCCTGGCGGTCCATTGAAGTGAATGGCACTGTAGCCGCAAGGCGTTCCATGCGTTCCCGTGCGGCCAGAGGGCGTGGCTACGGTGCCATTCACTTCAATGGACGCCCCCTCCTGCCCCACAACATAGTGAGCCAGCTGCAATGCAATGCAGTGCGTTCTGGCCAGAATCGGGCCGGAACGCACTGTGTCTGGTGTGAACGAGATCTTTAAGAAGCCAGATCAAATTATGGACACATTAGCTATATCTGACCAAATTGAACACAATAGCTTTCTGGGGCATTTACAGAAGAGCTTAGCTAAATTAAGTATGCATAACCAAAATCTTTCTTCTTGGTTTTGGATAGAGTTGGTTTACTTTTTGCAGTCTGTGTCCCATTAAGGAGATTTCCACTCAATTCCAGACCACTTGACCATGAGGATTAAGGGCCTGTTCACACATACTGTACAATGATGACCTGTGTTTTTCCTCACCGGCTCAATGCAGGTCACCACTAGGACACAAAGACAACCAATGTTTTCTATGTTCCCCCAGTTCATACTCCAATGCATTTTTCTCCAGAACACTGGATAGCACAGAAGGTCACTGCTGTGTGGAGACCTTGATGTGCAAAACATTATTACTTTTTTTCATCACTACTTTTCCTTTATTTTGGCTTTTCCAAATAAACAAAATGGAATAATGTAAAAGGCTAGATGACAGCTAGTGCAGTAAAACACTTTAAATAAAGAATACATTTTTATAGAGATCGATCTATACATCAGGGCAAAAAAAAGGAACATCCGAGGAAGAAAGAGGAACAGGGGGATTTGGTTCCAAAAAAGGACAGTTGAGAGGTATGCCGTTCCTATCAATACCCCTAACCATTCAATACTTTCAATACCCCTTTCCCAATGGCTGGTGCATAAAAACACTAAACTTACTGTATCACTGTTTGATATACTCACATATGTATCCCGGTATGTCCCTACAAATTCTACTGCTGCCTGTGACATTGAACTGGGACATTTCACCTTTTGTCAAAGAATAATAAAGAAGAAGATCTCTCAATCCCCCCACTAGTCTATTGTATTCTGACAAGAGGCGTGCTGCTGTCAAAATACTCAAAAAGCTACTGGGACTAACCGGCTGCAGTCGCTGTTCAGCTGAGATTTTACTGATCGGCTCCTTCAACAATTTTCAGAGATTGAGAAATCAACAGAAATCAATTGGACTTGGACAGCAACTGTGCTGACTTAGCAAACAGGAAAGTACTGCAAAAGGGGAAGAAAGGTGAGCTGCAGACTGCGTGCATGATCTAGTTGGAATGTCAGTTGCTGCATTAGTAGTTCACAGACCAGGCTGGCCAGAAATGCAGGCATGTAGTCAGGAGTCATAAAGAGGAGGCACAGAATTGCTTGTCAGTGATCAGAATGTTTTGTCAGTGAGCATGATGAAGAGTCACGTAGTCAGTTTTCAAAAGGAGGTGTCATGCTTTAAAAGAAAATGAGGAGGTACAATGTCAGGAATCATTATCAAGGGGTGTGGAGAGAAGGACTCTCTACAGCCCTGTCCCTGCTCTTCTGATCTCAGAGCCCTCACCCTGCCTTCCTAGACCTTCTCCAGAGCAGAGACCCCAGCTTTGCTTTCCCTGTATACAGCTGGCAGATCAAAGCTCCTGAATCTCACACATCTCCACTGCATGCTTGACCAGCATAAAGCTGAGATGTGAAAGTAGACCCCCTGCAGCCTCTTCCCTGCTTGGCCATCAGGGGTGACACTGACTGCACAGGAAGTCTGGGCAAACCACATCTGTGGAAGGCAGGCAGTTTGTCTTTTCAAG